AAAAAGAGCGATACCACAAGTGTTAAGAAGAAGGAAAACGAGATGCGCCACTATCCAAAGGATCTAAACCCGTTTGCAAATTTCAACGGTACCACCGATAATGACTGCTCGTCCCAGAACAGCGGGAAGGCCTCCAGCGCTCGTCGCCAAAGCCATAAAAGAAGACGGAAGAACTCTAAAAGTGGAGAATACCCGATGGAAAATAATCCATTTAATGATACTGATGAGATGAGCGAGACGCCCTCCAGTACTCGTCGTGAAAGGCGTAGAAGAAAACGGAGAGAATCCATGAATGAGGAATACAAAATGGGAGACATCTCATCCAGTGATGCTGATGACATGCGCATCAAGCCCTCCAGTATTCGTAGTCAAAGGCGTAGAACAAAACGGAAAGAATCGAATGGTGAAAAATACAAAATGGAACACAATCCATCCAATGATACTGATGAGGAAAATAGTTCATCAATCTTGAAGTCTACTGATACTTCTGACATGTGGTCTGTTTCTTCATTGGAAGATATTCAGTTTGTGGTGAACACAGCTGTAGTAGAAGAGGTAAATGTAAAGACTGCATTACAAGGCTTGGCTGCCAGCAATGAAAAAGACGAACAGGTTGACCGAGAAGATTACGATGACTCAAAGGTCCAGTCATTCCCATCTGATAAGGAGGTCTTTCCTGACGATCTCCCTTCCACAAACAAATATAATGTTCCTGCAATTATCGGATCAACAAACCTTGATGCTTCGACTGCTAAAGATTTTTCAAATGCAAGCGAGAGATCAACTATCAATCAAGCACAACCTACCGAGGAAGTAATTGCCATGGAGGATTGCCAGGGTGGAGACAGCTTTGGTAAGTTGTTCTGTAAGCATACCACAAAATAGATCCTAATGAGCGGAAAGTATTGTAAAACAGTGCATCTTTATCCACCGAACCGGCGAAAAGAGTCAGTAGAAACATTCTCATCTGCGTGCAAGTAAACCTTTATTCTTGACTGTTGTTTGTACTTTGATTGCTATTAACCAAACAGATTTGATTGGTTCAATATCAACTTCATCAGAATGTGTATATATTCGCCTTCTCTTTTCACTATTTAAGCACGTGTATTTTCTGAAATCTTCTTTAGCTTCCATCGTAAGCAATCAGTTTCCTGAGTTGGCTATTTATGTGGAGACAGAGATTAAGGTTATCGAACACAAGTTGCTTTCATTGCACAAGGTGATGGTTAAATTGGAACTAGAGATGAAAGAAGCAATGGACACTGAAGGTTAGTTTCCTATTTTTTACCTTTGCATGAGTCAATATATAAAAACATATTTGCTACAAACGTGCAGAACAGTGATTTTCGAGAGCGACTATCCTGAATCCCTAGCTTCGAACCTTTCTAACTGTTCACTTTCGTCAAATAACAGCCGAACTATCCTGTTAGTTGAGAGGAATCTTTCGGGGTTCAAAGTGCTTGGTTTCTCTCACGTAACGCTAAAGAATAACAGTTTCTCTCCCAGGAAGAGGTAAAGTCTGGAAACAATTATCCGGGTATACCGTCGCGCCAAATAGAGGGTGATGCATGTAACTAACTAAACACAAATTAAATGCAGCCTTCTTTAATTTCCCCTTTTAGATTGTGAGGCCGAGTTTGAAAGCTTATCACTTGACTGGTTAGCGCTAAATAAGTTCCGTTCTGAACTTGACGAAAGGAAGCAAGACCTTCTCACTCTGTAAGTACATCTTATCCTTATAAAGCTGTTTTAAACCTTGCTCGATAGTTGGGAACAAGTCAATATGCCAAATTATGGTAATACATATTCAATAGCCAGAACGAATGATTTAAATTAACCACATATAAGCACTCCTTTTTTTATTAAGCATTTTAATTCCTTGCATTGTATTTCCATTTGAAAGTTTATCGTATTAAAGCCTTATCTTTCGTCTTTGTTGTTTTTAGTTCCAGACAACAAAACCGTAAAGAGTGTTTGAAGTTCTTACGTCAGGACCTTAAATACCTGTTTGAAGTCAAAGGCGAGAATCAGTTTCGTTATTTCTTCAATGTGATAATGCTAAATTTTTTTTGTATGATGTTAAACAAGTGTTCTGTTACCAACGCCTGGGTTTTTTTATGCAATCTTTTATTTTTTTGCTATCGTATGGTGAATGATGTTTTATAACGTTTTCTACGGCAGGTTGGAAGAAAACCAGGGAACACAAAGATCGGGAAAAGAATGTCCTGGATCTTATCCTCAACTTGACCAACATGGCCTGAATAACAAACTACATTAAAGTAGGAAACTTGTATTTTAATTCAGTTGAAATGCTTTTGGTTCTCTTCTTGTAATCATCCTTTACATTCTATAATAAGTTTGCCACGAATCATTTGGATTATGTTGATTTAAGAGACTTTATTATGAATAACAATGGCTAATTCTGTTTTTACTTTCCTTTCCTTTTGCAGTTTCGATTTCACAACTTTTTCTTTATTTCTGGTCTGGCTTGTATGGTAACATGTTTGTATATGGCTAAGAACAAGGGATTATAATCTCTCGCTAAAAATCCTTTGTAAATCTCTAAATTCTGAGCAGTTTCATTTTTCAATGTAAAATTCTTTCTCTTAGAAAATCATTCAGATATTATCCTTGAATCATGAGATTACTTTACTTGTCAAACAAATTTTCATGTGACTACTATGAATACTATGAATTCAAATAATTTCTATTGTTGTAAAAATTTTCATTTTTTAACGTAAGTAACTGTCTTTATCTTTTCTCGTCTTTTTTTTAATTGCTCAGAACTATTTCATGAGTATAAATACCTCTTGTGAATGTAATATCTTAAGTTCAGGGTCACGGACAAAAGATCTAACAAGGTTTCTTTTCATTACGACCCTGTTATCTTTTATTTTGATTACGTTTTATTTCAAAGACGAAGGTAGATAGATCTAAGGTGAAGACTTTGTTTTCTTCCAATCAGATGCGCTGATATAGAATCATTTGTAATGAAAGTGACGTAAGCGGTTACAAGATCACTGCACGTAACTGAATACTTCACCTTTGGCAGTGCACACTTTTTTTTGTTCGTACTTTTCTTTTCTTTTTCTGTTTTTTTTTCCGCTTTTTTGTTTTTTGTTTAGGTATTTTGTAATTTGGGTTTGGAATCTTTTTTGGCAATTTTCTCATCCTCTCCTTTTTTTCTCCTCTTTTATTATTTTGGTTTGTTTTTGTTTCCTTCCTTCTTTCTTTCGTTTTTTCTTCCTTTTTTTTCTTTTTGAATAACATTGCCCTTTTCCTCCACCTGTATTAACAGCGATTCGAACGTTGTGGGTTATGTTGGGTGGTTTTCTGGCTGCATGCGTCACTTTTCTTTGCGATCAATCCATAGCAGTGCTGATGATTGACCGAATGCTAAGACAAGGAGACTGGGACTCATTGAGTATAACGTCACGCCATTACTTCACCAGGGAAAGGAGTAACGTAATCGCCTTAGTTTTTTTCTTTCAAATTGACGCGAGATCATCTTTGATTCAATTGTGAACATATTGAGTTGCCTATTTTTCATTGCGATTTTTTTCGCTATTTCCTTATTTTACCTTGATTTGTAATAATTGTAAATAAATGTAAACGAAAAAAAAACACGACTTTTCTCAAGTCTTTTACAAAGTCCATCTTCTCACTCTTCTGCTGTTGATTTGCTAATAAAAAAGCAATTTCTCATGTTTCATTATTCCCATTAGTCACCATACCCTCACCTCGGTTTGGATTGTTACCCTCATAGGCATTTCAGATTTGAACGATTCATGACCTTGTTTTTACGGTTTTGATGAGAATGGTAGCCATTTTTTCCAGTTGTGACCGGTTTACATGGTCAACTGGCCTAGCTCAGATCTACAAGAACTCAATTGAAAGGGTGGACGATTATTAAAAAGCCAAACGGTTGACATGGCAAAGAACTAAACTTTTATTACTAAAAAAAATCTTATTAAGCAACAGCTAAATAGGAATAACCACATTTTATTCATTTTAGTCATTATTCCAAATTGCGGCGTAGCTACGAGCTTAGTAGTAAGAGCTATTTGTAAGGGCTTCCTTGTATCACCGGAGTAAAACAAAATTGCTATCGTATTGACAAGTTTTCATTCAGTGCCTCTAGTGTTAAAATATCACTTAGTGAGAATTAAAATCACAGGAACGTTCGCAGCTCATCTGAAAGGTTCATTTTACGCCCTTAGATAAAGGAAAAACAATTTTGGTATCGCTCGAGCTTGTTGAACTCCCCATGGATGTAACTTCTTGACAGCAGACAAGCATAGGATACCAAAAGTTCTTGTCCAGTACAATGAAAACAGATTTCACTCCAGTCCTCCTTGAGCGTAAGTTAATAGTCAACTTGAAACCCTAATGAAGCTTTATCAAAACACCAACCTGCCTCTCATTGTCCAGTTTGTGATTCTATCTTTAAGTGTATTTTTTAGGGCGGTCTAAGGTGGGAAAGGGAAAAAGTTTAAACTATTATGGCTAGGATTGCAGCTTGTTCATTATTGTTATCACACCTCAAATCTCTCCGTACACTGTAAGAATTTGGTTTGTTCAAACGAGAGGGTCAGATCGGTGGAGGGAAGGGGGGACGGGCAAGGGGTAGGGGGTACTAATGCACCCTTTTTTTTCAACCAAAGGGTCAGCTTTGTATCAGCTGACTGTTAAATGTTTCCTTTAGAAATAAATAGGAAGAAAACACAAAAACTAGAATTACCCAAATCGTTATGAATCGTACAAATGAACAAATAGAGGCGGACATTTTTTTTCCCAGATGCAACTATTTCCTCATTTATCTACTTCTACTTCAACTGTTATGGAGAAATTTCAAGTCATTCCAACCGACCTCAGTCAATGCAGTGCACTGAGCGCGCACAACATGCATTGGAAGCAATTATTTTCATGGCAACATGACATCACAATGAACGAAGCAGAAATCCTTTTAGTTCGTCTGAGAGATTTTGTGAGAAACAGTAATGGCTTGTGTTCTCATACCGTTCCGACGGGAAAAAGCAAGAGCTGATAATTTTTTGATCACAGCATCTGTTTCGTTACTGAATGTTGAATTACGCAAGAAAAGGTGGTAAGGGACACGATAAAGTATTTTCTTTCTCTCTTTTCTCTTAGGAGTTTAGCCTTCGAAGCTGCTTGTCTCACTAGAGTCAGACTTTTTTTCACTTTTCTGCTGAGAAAATGATCCAAATTTAGACTCTGACGAAGCATACAATTTCGAAAACAATATAAATTTCACTATGATTAATTGAATTGAGGAAAAAATTTGCGTTTTTAGAATTTGGCTGAGTTTTATTTCACTGTTGAATACCGCGTGAGACTTAAGCAACAGAAACAAAGGGTCTTTCCCCAAACACAATATTGTTTGCCCTTTGAAGTTGCAAGACTCGGTGAAAAAACAAATACTAAGCTAATTCGTGTTTTTCACGGCAGTACTGTGAGAGAAAGTTCTTGATAACGGTTAATTATTGACAACGAGGGGGAGGGAGGGGTTAGTTTTACTAGTTACCAGTCTTGGCATAAAGACATCATGGCGGCCGCCTTGAAGATACGATATACTTCTTTGCCTTTTGTCGTATTCCAAAGTAACAAAAGATGTAAGTGCATCTCAGCCCTTGAATCGTAAAATGTCAATCGCTTATACAAGGATAGAAACTGCACTGAACAGAAATATGGCTAACTATGGCAACTTTTTTCACATCATGCTGACATTCGTGTTTTGTTCCTTAATTAGGTATCCCCACAAGCTTGCAGTTTTTTGGAAAAAAAGGAAAGCGAAATACAGTACAAAGGTAGTCAACTTAGACTTTGGATCTCTTATCTTTCTCTATTAGCTCATTAAACGTTATTGATTTCTTAATCGTCAGTTTGAGTCGAATAAATATTTCTTCCAATTACTTTTTCTCTCAGCCGGTAGCGTGGTTTGGAGGTGTTGAAAATGGTTATCGTGGTGTTCATTTTTGGCCTGAGCCTGATCCAGTAGATAGTAAACTTACTCTCCTCAAGGTAAGTTTCAAATAAAGGCAACACGAGGTAGAAATTTGGGGGCAAATTGCCGTAAAGTGCCACAGCATTCGGAAACGAAATTGTGGTCCGAAAGACTTGCTTTCGTCATTGTTTTCTTTATCCAAGAGCTCTATGCATAATGAACTATGGGGAAGTGCAGAAATCTTGGCCAACTCTTTGAAACCATTGTTTTCGTAAACACGTTATACCTACTTACTGAAGCCTTCCTTGCTTTTTTCTTAGGCTTGCTCCTTCCTCCGATTCAATTTGCGTTAAGTTTTAGGAAATTTTGAAATAAAAACAGTCCATCTTTCGTTAGGAAGAATTTTTTAAGCCACCAGGTTTTTAATATCGCTTAACTTCTTGCGTTGGATTACTATGTAATATTATGCTAATTTATTAATGTTAAATCTATTATAACCTTCATTGTAAAAGTTCAAAGTACAACAGCTGAAGAGAAAAAAATATTATGAAATGCTATTGAATCTTTTGAAACGTTTGAGGACAGATGATTAAATTTATATTGTCAAAACCATGACATGAACTTTATTTCACATTAACGCTCCCTGGAGGTTAAAAGACACTGCACTGGCAAAATTAATAGGGACCTTAACCAGTCAGGAGAGTGATGCCAAGGAAGACAAATTGATTAAAAAATAAATCTATATTTTTATTTGGAATTTCCTGAATGGCCGCATGAATGTTTGTACTGTCTCTAACAGTGCCGCATCTCAACCTCTGCATAATGTGTGTGATTCACATTGAGTTCCATATTGAAACTGAAATAATTTTCTGTCAGTGTTCCTGTACACAGACCACGCCAAATTTGGTTACTTCATGTTGTTGTTTGCCAAGGACAGCTTCAACATACAAAAAGTTCTAAACGCTAGTGCTTAGCTATTGTTCTGCTCATTTGGTCTTTTGTTTTGTCACATCTTTGTTTCCATCATTCTCATGGTTTCTTCAAGGTCCCTAATATTGTTGTTATCAAGTTTGTTTCTTTATTTTAAAACAATGTTCATTTGTATTTGTAGAACCCAGAGGATAAAATGACAGAATATCAAGAAAAGCAGTGGAATATTTACATCTGTAATGTAAGCTTTTCACTTTTCAACTTTACATGAGCATGTAGTTGCTCTTTGCGTTTGATATTATTTTCACTCCACGCAGTTTGGAGTAAATATGAAAACTGTTCATCTTCCTCTTGATTCTTTGAAATCATTAGATGTTCCCCAGTGGTCATCACCAGCTTCTGGCCACTGGCTGTATTGATATCAGCAATTACATTACAGAGATGCCTGGAAAAGTGGATGTTACTGTCACCCTTAAGCCAGCAATCAGGAAAGTTGTTTCTGGTAAAATTGAGTTTGAATTATCATGGATTATCCAGGAAGATGATAGAGTCATGCAGTGAGTATTCTTCAGTAATTTCCATAGCTAGTTATTGTAATGATCATCCAGCTTATGTTTGGCAATTAAAAGTCAGTTACTATGATAATGTTATTTTAGATCCATGAATTTGATCAGTAAACTTTCAAAGTGAGATATTATCATTTTTGCTGCATTAGCACGAGGGTCCACTAATATATAAAATATAAAAGTTTACTTGCTCAATGGTTTTTATTCATGCAATTACTATTTGTTTTGTCTAAAAGTAATTGTATTGTGAAATTCCATTAACTCTTTTGCATTACCTTTACAGTCCCACAGATGAAGAGATATGGGAAGAGATAATGCAGGAGGTCAGGGAGGAACAAGCAAAAAGAAAAGCTGAGGGAAAGACAGCAAAACAAAAATCTTTGAAAAAAAGAAGGCGCAGGAAACGTGGCTGCTCAAGTAATACAGACATTGCCACTGAGGAAGACAGAAAGAAAGATAAAAACAATGAAGTTGGCTGCTCAAGTGGTACAAACATTGCTGTTGGGGAAGATAAAGAAACTATTGAACAACAAGGTGGCATCTTCTTAAATGCTGAAGCTCAGGTGAATCCCTCATCTAGAAGCAATACCAAAGTGGGGACAGGAAAAGTCAGGAGGCAGTCTTCACCTCATCATGCACATCTTAGCCCTGCATCACCCCAACCACACCCATCTGCTAACCAGGGGATGCCATCAGAGAGTGAAGAGAGAAAAGGGGTGCAGAGTAAAAGGAACCTTCATAAAACTGTCAGGTTTCAAATTGATGAACAGCCTGAGGTATTACATCTTGTTGTACATGATGAAGAAGCAATGGACTCCTTGTCTGTGTTGTCCTCAGAAACTGCTTACAGAGAAACAGTTTTCATCAAGGAAGATGAAGTTGCAACAAAAGAGAAGTGCATTCCCAAGGGAGATGAAAATTCATGTAAGTTCTGTTTTGTTTTCCAGCCTCCCATTCCAAATGGAAAGGGGCTTAAATTTGATTACTTTTCTCCTGTTTGATCTGATTTATTTTCAGTCAATTTTATTTTCAGTGTTATGGAACCTTGAGCTATAAGCACTAAATAAAAATCATAACTTTATATTTTTTTATTCTGAATTACAACTATTTTTGCTGATTATTGATGTTAACTTTTTTGTTCAGCCTCAAGTGGAAGCCAGCTTCACTCAGAGTTGGCCAGTTATATTGAAGAGGAACTGAAGGTTGTTCAAGATGAATTATTGTCTTTGGAAGAAGTCCGCTCAAAAGTAAAACTTGAAATGCAGAAAGCCATGTCATCAGGTGGGTGATCCATTTCCAAAATGATAAAGTGGAATACCTTGGAATTTCAAATCATACAATTAATATGTTGCATTCACTTGCTGAGTCAAATTTCAGAGCAGGCATTCCTTCATTAAAAAACTTATGTTAAGTTCTTTTCCCCACTAATGAGTTATAAATCTTTTGCTCCAGGATCTTATAGGTAATTCTCTTTACTGTCTGCAGTACAATTCTTATGATATTAGATCAGTAAATTTGATATTGAATGGATTAATAACATCCTGCTTTATATTGTTTTGATATTGTAAGGATAAATTCTGTCTTGATCATTCTCAGGAGTGAAAGGGTTAAAAATGTTAAAAAACAGCTAATCCCCAGACTAGAGATACTGCAAGTTTTTACACTTATTTCAGGTGTTATAAGCCATGCTTAACTTACACAGCTTATACAATGTATTTGTTTACTTTTTGTCTGTAGACCACAAAGAAGAGTTTGAAAGCTTAAACCAAGGCTGGCTTATATTGGATAGCTTCCATTCCAAAGTGTTGAAAAGAAAAGACGACCTTCTTGCCATGTAAGTAATAAAGACTTATTTTAGAAACAAAATAAACATGTCCATTATGACCTAAAATGTAGTCTTACATTGTAATCCATGATCCAAAAACTCTGCTCAGGTGCCTTTATATGTGGACCAACTGCCTTTGATATAGATAAATGATCTATATATCATATATTGCTTAATTAGTTCCTCTGGATTCATTTTTGTTATTGTTAATAATAAAAAATGTTAGCAATGGAATGACTAATGTTTGATTTACAGATCGAGAAGTTCCACTGTTTGTCCTTGTTATTAACTTGGGTTTTTCAGAGACTGTAGTGGTTCTGCTTAACTAAAGGTTGTATTTAGCTTGAGGCAGATTTGCTTGATTTTCTGTTTTCCTTTTACCAATATAGTGACAAAGGAAAAAACATTGAAAATTGTCTTAACTTGCTGTGTTCAGATTTAAGACGCCTTTCAGAAGTGGAAGGTAAGTATTCAGTTGTTTCTCCTCCTTTTTCTCAGTTTAGTGTTATTGGGACAGGTTTAGTGAGCCTTGATTCTTAACCCTTTACACCCTAACATCATTCTGTATATATATATATATATATATATATATATATACTCCAAACTGTTCTCTTTACATTTCCTAAGGTGCTGCTAAGGTGAATTTGTTTAACAACCTTGAGTTTCTTTACATAGTGATCATTTCCTTTATCCTTGTGATATTCTAAAGAGAAATTAGATGCTATTCACTCTTCAGGGTCAAAGGCAAAGCCAAAATGTAGATGAAGGAAACAAGATTTTGTATTTTGATTTTAGGCTGGGGGAAAACAGATGAGAACAAAGCTCTTGAAAAAAGAGTTGCTGGACTCATTGCTGCTATTCACTAGCAGAGCTTTCATGCCTAAATAATGGTAAGAAACAGTAATCTTGACTAATTTGAAATGCAAGCTATTAATTGTGACTCTAACACCTCCTATGATAGCAGTCAATATTGTATTTTAATTAGTTGAAATTCAAGGCATATAGCTAATGTAATTTTTAGTGTTTTTCTTTACTACAATCTAGCAGTAAAACATACTGTCTATAATTCTGTCATATGAAGTGGTGTAGATGTTCTCATGTTGGTTAATTTCTTTTTTGCATTTCAGACTGAATGAAAATCCATCTACTATTTTTAAATATATTGATAAGTTCATTTATAACAGTATCTTAAGTGTGATTTTTATCATAATGATATACGATATTGAGTGTTCTACATTCAGAGAGAAAAATTCTTTTGATGAAACATTTTGTCTTCCATTGTAAATAATCCTTTGTAAATAGTCCAAAATACGTTTTGTAAACGGGTCATCACGCATTCTTTTCTCAATCTTTTAATGGGATTCAATATTTAAGAATTAATTTCTTCCTGCAGTTTTTATGAAGCCACTATTGTCATTAAAGCACATTCCAAATCCTTTTCCTTACTTTGAAATGATGTACGGTACTTTTAGTAGTTTGGATAAGTCAGATCTCCTGTCTTAATTGTAAACAATATTTTATAACTAGCTCATCTTATGTTTTGTGAAGTTTATCATCTGTACAATCTTTTGATACATACGAATTGAAAAATACACTTTTTTCCTGCAACATTCATGAAGCTACTGTTAAAGGAACTTCCAAATTATTTTTCTTATTTTCAACAGATCTACTTCAAATAGTAACTCACAAGTAAAAGACCTCACACTCTCTTGTCAATATAACTTGCCTAAAAATGACCAAAAAATTCTTTGACTTTTTGAAGATTTTTGGAGGTAAAGCAAAGCAAATGTCAACAGTCATTCTAAGTGGTTACATGTGCACATGTGTCATTTTGGTTTATAGGTGAATCAGTATCAGTGCTGGTGTCAGGGAACACCTAGTTATGGAGACTGTGAGACAATCAGTGTGACGTCAATATATACTTAGAACTTAACCTCACATAAATGATGACGCAATCAGTTCAATTTGACCTTTCTAATCTGTGATATGTCAGTCCTTCTCATTAATTTAAGTTTGAAACTCTTTTTTTGGTGCAGTTGAAGTATTTTTTTGTCACACACACGGGAAGTTTTTTCTTAGTTGCATAACATTTTATAAGTAAGACTTATGCAGTGGCTCCAAAGTGAAAAAAAAAAAAGTTGAAAGTTTATGCTCATAACTTTCTGTTCATATTGGATAGTTTCTTTTTATTTGCAATACTTTTGTATGGACATTAGTATTGAGATCATTTTACAGTGGCTTCAAAGTAAGAAAATAAACCTGTAATTATTTGTTGGCTATTTATCATATTATTATTTAATGTTCTTTTATGAATGTTGGTTTTGAGATAATTATGCAGTGGCTTCAAAGTATGAAGAGAAAAACCTATAAGTTAAGTATTAATAAACTTTGTTGTTGTAAAGTATGTGATGATCATTGTTGTGTTCATGTGGCCATTTCCATTAAGTGTCGAAAGTGAACCGTGATTTCGACGGCTTTACTTAACCACCCTCTGTGATAAGGCCAGAAAACCTGCCCCAAATGCAAAACTAATCACTGCTAACTTTTTCCTGCGCTTCGGGCAGTTTGCTTAGCTTTACTTATAGTTCTCATTGGCTCCTTGACTGACCCTCGTGATCACATTGGTTTTTGTCTTTCATCATACCATAAAAATTCACGCGATTCTTACGATGAAGTGATCAGACGTTAATTTGAACTGCAGATTAAAGATGCGACATATTTCTTTTCTGATGTTCTCTGTTTCTCTAGGTGTGGCGTTTGTGATGGCAAGTCCGTCGTCTCGGTAAAGTCCTATGTTTGCATTAAGGTCCTGGAGTTGGGAGAGCAGAAAGCTTCCCACGAGTTCATATGTTTCTGCGCCGTCGTAGCTTCCCATTGTTACGTCGAATGTTGTGTTGCCTTTCTTTTGCCAGTGTAGGTGCTTGTGGATTAAGATGGAGTTTTTTGCGTGAATTATAATATTTCTTTCGTCGGTGGTGATGTTGTCATAGTCGGAGGCGAAGTCGAGTGCTTTGTTTAGGAGGTCTTGGCTGATGGATGGATAGAACTCTTCGATGTCGAAACAGATGAAGCTGGAGTGTTGTTTGTTTTTGATAGATGTGAACCAGTTGATTACGGCTGCGATGTTTTCCCATTTTTTGAAGTTACGTTTTTTCGCAATCGTGCTGTTGATGCGGTAGAGGGTCTTTTTGCTGACTTTGCCTATCTCGGACTTCGTGGGGTTGATGAGTCTGCAGGTCGGTTTGTTTGCGAAGTTTGGCTTGTGATCTTTAAGTGTTATGAATGCGTCTTTATCGGCTGTAGCGTCTACTCTGTCGTCGATTCCCAGTTTCATCGCGATGTCTTTGTTTTCTTTATGGATTGCTTGTGTCGTCTCAGGCAGTGCTTTCTCTCTTTATATATATATATATATATATATATATATATATATATATATATATATATATATATATATATATAAATCAATAGGAAGTCTGTGTATTAATTTTTCCGTTTCATAGTGCTCGATACATTGAAGTAGAGCTCGATGTGTGTTTTTAGTTTTTAATTTTTAACCTGAATTTATTCATTTCGGTATGTTTAAAACGTACCTCAGCGTCGTATCCTGGACGAAGTCAGTTTAAGAGGTTTGTATCGAAACATGTTGACCGAATTCTATCGTAGTCCGTTATCTGAAAGCTCGCTGTTATTTACCAACGAAGAGGCTACACTTGATCCACAGTCCGTTAATAAAGATATATTGAACTTAGCAAATTAAATACATTTGGCTGTAAATAAAGCCTTCAACAAGTCTTTTGACAATCCTAAACAAATATAAGCGAAAAAGTTTTGGTAACCAAGAATTCAAGGAAACATAAAAAAGTGTACACGTCAACCTCATTGTCAAGGTCTCTAAACATGTTTGGTTCATTGATCAGATCACGCACATCTCGCATCTTGTTTTAATAAACTAGTTTTATTAAACTACCTGTTCACACCGCGGGCGCGTGTAGCCAAACAGGTTTAAAACCGTATTTAATAAAACTACCTAAACGAAGTTGTTTAACTTTCGTGTTTAACTAAACACATGAAATATGGCGGCTGCCAGAAAAACCCGCGGAAGAATTTGGGAAAACCAGGAAACGTTATTGCTACTCCAAAATGAAGTTGATGTCTTGTACCAGAAAGAGGCCTATATGGTAAGAAATAAGCGATTTTATTCGAGCGGTAGGCTACGAAGACCGTGATGAAGATCCCTGCAAAACAAGAATATACACTTCAGTAAGTGCGTATCGCTTCTGCAAAGACGAATGCGAGAAGACCGGAAACGAAACTGCGAAGAAGAAGCCGGCGTTTTTCGACGAAGTCGATGAATTTCTCTAAAAAAACCATGTACCAAACCGAATGTTGTGGTAAATTCTTCAAAAATGATCACTGAGGCGGACAATGAAGAAGAAGGCCATGAAAATATTGAGAACGAAGGGTTGCCTTCCTTCAGCGCCGGCACCAGCGGCAGCAGCAACAACAAAACAGCCGGCAAATTTCCTCAAACAAACAGTGGTGAATGTTTGACAGGTGAGCTTTGAAAACTTTTGCTGATCGGAGGGTCAGGTAATGAGCCAAGAAAATGTTTCAATATCGGCGCCTGTGCTGTCTGTAATCTCTAACAATTTCTTGATAATTTTACTTCCACGATGGATAGACTTGTACAATAATATGGAGATAAGTATTGGCTCAAACAGCCTTCCACATGATTTATTCTCGACTTTAACTTCTGCATTTAAAGATTTCTTGTGTTCCTTCACAGAAAAAAACAACAGATGCTAGCAAGCCATTTTTCAAACCCGCGACGAAGAAGCATAAGCTGTCAACGACGGATACCTTTACAAAAATCGGCAAGGCGTTGGAGGCATTTGTTTCCTATCAAAAAGCTGCTGATAGGAGTTTTCTGGCCGCAAAGGAAGCTCGTGAAAGACGAGAAGAAGAAAGGGAGGAGAAAAGGAGGAAGGAAGACCAAGAGTTTCTGCTGAAATTGGCGCAGGTACTTCGAAAATAAAAAGTACGCGTTTTCAACAATTTCATTTGCGCTCGTACCTGCGACAGTTTCAGCTGGTTTAGTTTTCGGCTTTATTTATTCTCTAAGTTGAAAGATGTTTTACGAAATCTAATGGCCGATTCCCAGTCAGTGGAGAAGGTGCAAGAAAAAAAAGAAAACTATATTGAACTTAACGCTTAATGCTCTGGTTAACTTTTCTTTACTTGAACTATTTGTCTTGAATGGTTGTCTTCAATTGATTATGCTTTTTTTTCTTTGAGAAAATAAAAATCGTTTTTTCCTTTAAGTCTTAATTTTAATTTTCCAGCAAAGCCTATTTGTTCAGAGGCCGATTAGCACTAACCCAGGGTTAAATTTTCATTCAGCTTTCTTTATTTCTTTATTCAGGAGCCTTTTTTGGGATAATTTTCCCTATTCCTTTCAGACCATCTAATCATCAAATTGTAGACAAAAAAAAGAAAATGGATTCTTTTTAAGTTTTCAGATTTGAAATCAAATTTCACACTAAGCCTGGGTTAACTTAAGCCAGCTTTGAACGACCTGGCCGAGAGTATTTAAAAAATGCTGCAGAAAATTAATGAAATAATGAATATTTTTGTGCACAGTGGTTAGGATCTTTTGGAAAAATTGATTTAATATTTGAAAATAAAGTTGTGATCCACCTTTCAAATGATGAAATTTGTTTCTGAGATTCCATCAGTTGTTCATAGAAAGAGGGTGGTATGAATGATGTCTTTTAAGTCTCATTGATACATTTACAACAGAGAGCTCTGTGTGTTTGTTTGCTTAATTATTCTTTCTTGTATGGAACTAACCAAAAAAGTCTGGTGTATAATGACGCAGTCACTTGCAAGTGAACAAGAGCAAAAAGTTAATGAATTAAAGCAGTTCTGCTGACATTAATCCCAGCTGAGGCCATGTCACTGAGTGAGTAGATCTCCTTGGTATTCGAACTGAACACTTTTATAGAAAAGCTGAGATTGTCCCCCTCCTTTTTTAGGCCTAAAGCTAAAAATCAGAGAGGAAGATGCAAGTCTTGCACTCAAATTAGTATTTTATGCGAACATGTATTATGCATGGATAAATTAGCATAGGTATGTCTCACCATGGGTTTCAAATTACTCCCTAATGTTTTAGCATAATTTCAGTGCTAATGTTTATTTCACATGTGAAATGGCAAACTTGCAATGACTGCATCTTTAATTGTTCTCAGATGGTTTCCAGGTTTTGAAATGATCAAAAAAATGTGGGTTTCAAAAAATACCACAGACAATCAAAGTTTGCCATCAGTAATTTTAATTTACACAAGATGTAAGCTCATTGATGGATTATTTGCCTGTGAGAGATGCTGATGTTGAACACGCATGTGCAAGGGATGCATGTGATAATGAATATTTATATTAAGACTCTTTTAATTGCTTCTCTTATTGCAATAGCATTTGGGTTCTGCCTTTGGTTTGGATCACCTGGACAAACTCCAGCATGAATGTAAATATCATTGAGCCATTTGTCATCAAAAGACTCGTTTTGCATCTCACAATAATTATGTAAAACACAGCACGCTGCGATGACATTGCAAGCATTTTCAACTTTTAAGTCCAGTCTCTTTCCAATGCTTCTGAAGGCATTTTCGACAACTACTCTAGCCGTGCTGTGTTTTATGTTGAAACTGCATTCCTCCGGGGTCAGATTTCCACGATCAATATATGGTTTCATCAGCCAATTGCTGAGGGCATAAGCTGAGTCACCTAATATCAGGGGAAGAACATGTTCACCAGATATCATCACCGACTTGTCGACCGGAAGAAAAGCTCTGGCACAACACATGGCAAACAATGGAGAGTTCTTGAAGACGCGTGCGTCGTGTACTTTACCCGGCCATCCAACACATATATCAAGAAATAGATAATTACAATCTACTAGCTCCTGAAGGATTAATGAGGGAAATCCCTTCCTGTAAACATAATCATCTGGACTTTGCCGAGGTCCAATGATTGGGACATGGCAACCATCGACTGCTGCAACCACCTGGGGAAAACCCGCGCGACTTTTAACACCTTCAATTTTTTCTTGGACCTCATTTTGATTTTGGGGAACGTTTATATAATTGGGAAGAACGTTCACTATCACCTCGCATACTTGTCGCACAATACCACAAACATTGGATTTTCCGACACCAAATAGATTTCCGATCGTTGGAGAGTGAGCCGTGTTATGGCGACTCGATGACGCACTGTAATGGCTTTCCTGTAATTGGTGTCCATTTTAGAGATATGTGGCGAAAGTTCTCGGCAAAGGCGATTAAATGCTTTTTGAGACATGCGAAAATTCTCATTCCGGTCCTTTTCTTGCCAATCTTGGCAAGTCTCTTCCCAAAATATTTGCGACCGGGGTTTTAGCCAAATACGGCGAACAGGAAGATGTTGGAGAAGAAATCGAAGCAAAAAACGAAAAAACAATGACCAAACGAGACGTCTCCGACGGACATAACGATTAAACCGTCTCTGTGCGTTTCTCTATCGGCTTTGTGTAATTCTGAGGTTTTCCCTCAGCCGTGACTGCTCCAACAACAGCAGGATATTGTGATTCAAACTGACCGCCATTTTGATTGCGTGTTTAACTTTGTTCGCAAAAATCAATATCAAAACGAGGCTGCGCAATACCTAACCGAGTCTGCAGTGTGAACGGTTCTTGAAAAACGCATGTTTTATAAAACCAAGTTTAAAAAAACTACGTTTAATGAAACTTGTTGAAATTGGTGTGAAAAGGGCATAAGAAAGGTTACCAAGGGGGGTCGGATGGGGAAAATTACACTGATTCCAAATACGGAACACATAAAACTCACACTTCCGCGCTTGGTCTTTGGTTATTTTGGAAAATACAACTTTACATTTCCCTTGTCACACAGAAAAAAAGAGAAATAAAAAAGGCGAAGTGATATTTTAGGGACGATTTTTCAAGTTAAAAAAAGGAAAAAAAAACGGCATTTGTAAATCCATATATCCATGAATGCTGGTTTTCAGAGGAAAATCAAGGGGACAACAAGACTTTTCATTTATTTTCATTCTTATGTGGCCAACTAGTAAACTGCAAGCAGTTTATTTAATTTTGAAACATCTCAGAGTTTTGGGTGATTTTCTGCTAGTATCCAATATTGGCTGTACGCATCTTTATCACGCATAACTGAACAGGATTTGCGCGTGCACATCATTTTAAAACAATCACGGATTTTTCGTTACAGATGAAGCTGGATATACAGTAGTATGACGACTTATCATTTATTTTGAATCAAGTGATAGCTTCCTTTTCTGTGAAAAATTGAAAGAACTATTTACACTGACGCGGTAGACTTGGAATGAGACTAACAAGCTATCGTCATGGCTACATGACATCACAATGGATAAACAGAAGATTTTCATTCCTCTGAAACGCATGTGATCGTTTTGAGCAAAAGGAAGCAATCATGAGTTTTTTGAAGAAAATGCGTGGAAAAGGTGGAAGTAAAAACCATCAAGAATTACACTTCAAAGCATCGGTTCCTTCTCCGACTGTGGAATGTGCCAAAGACAAATGGTAAGTGGAGAAAAAAGAGAGGAAAAGTCATCGGGAAAGATCACCTATAAATATAGGCATGTTAGATTTAGGTGAAGTTTTTTTTCCATCTGCGCTTTTGGTACGGCGAAAGAATAAAGCAGCCGTTGCAAAAAGAAAACACGCCGGCAAAAAAAAAAAACGAAAAGTTTTTGTTTTTAAGTCTGGGACAAAAACTGAATGACTCCAAGCAATTTACCACTTAACTTGCGCTTTTTTGGTTTCATCGACTCGCGCTAAATCTCAGCTTTAAGAGGCCAATGAAATGATTTTTGGAAATCGCGGGGATATGACGGCGATTGAGATTCAGAAAAATGAAACTGCAAATCTCTAATAGACTGATTTGAAACTCCATTTACGAAATATGAACAACAAAATTTCATCACCTTTCAAGGAAGGCTTAGATATAAAGCAAGGTCATAAAAACTGAGTCAAAGTGTTATTTCTTGCTCTTTTATTAAGATGACATTTTGACGACTTGAATTCACTGTACCCTTGTGATTATCTTGCAGTCTCCCAGGCAAGAAAGATACCATCAGGGAAGAAAGCAGGAGACTGTCGCGTCCAAGATCCTTAAAGAGCTTCCGAAAGGAAAAGCGCGATGGCGATGTTACCAGTGGTGCTGCCTGTTCGAAGGTGGCTACCACAAAAGTCAATGCTGCTCCACCTGCTCCATCTTCAGTCGTCGTTAGTAACCATGAGAAAAAGAGGGAAGTGAAAGCTGGTGCTGACACTAAGGGTAATAGTTCTCAGGCGGTTTCGTGTCGAGGCCGCAATAAAACAAGATCAGGACCAACAAAAGTCAAAAGGAAAGCTCCACCTCCACCGCTGCCTCTCTCTGAGAGGCCTTCCGTTTCTCATACCAGTCCATCCCAATCTGGTCTACCTCGTCCTATTTCAGCCCGTTCCTCTCCTCTGATACTTCCACCGTGTCAACCACGAACTCGTAAGGTGGCTCCACCTCGCCCTCCTCCACCGAATATGAAGCAGCCCGGTAAAAAGAGTGATACGACAAGAGTTAAGAAGAAGGAAAACAAGATATGCCACTATCCAAAGGATCTAAACCCGTTTGCAAATTCCGACGGTACCACCGATAAGGAATGCTCGTCCCAGAACAGCGAGAAGGCCCCCAGCGCTCGTCGCCAAAGGCATAAAAGAAGACGGAAGAACTCTAAAAGTGGAGAATATTCGATGGAAAACAATCCATTTAATGATACTGATGAAATGAGCGAGACGCCCTCCAGTACTCGTCGTCAAAGGCGTAGAAGAAAACGGAAAGAATCCAAAAATGAAGAATACAAAATGGGAGACATCTCATCCAGTGATGCTGATGACATGCGCAACAAGGAACGGCGTAGAACAAAACGGAAAGAATCTAATGGTGAAAAATACAAGATGGAACACAGTCCATGCAATGATACCGATGAGGAAAATGGTTCGTCAATTTTGGAGTCGACCGATACTTCTGACATGTGGTCTGTTTCTTCATTGGAAGATATTCAGTTTGAGGTGAACACAGCTGCAGTAGAAGAGGTAAATGTAAAGACTGCATTACAAGGCTTGGCTGCCAGCGATGAAAAAGACGAACAGGTTGACCGTGAAGATTCAGGTGACTCAAAGGCCCAGTCCTTAGCATCTGATAAGGAGGTCTCTCCTGATGATCTCCCTTCCACAAACAAGGATAATGTTCCTGCAAGTATGGGATCAACAAACCTTGATGCTTCGACTGCTAAAGATTGTTCAAATGTGGGCGAGAGATCAATTACCAATGTAGTTCAACCTTCCGAGGAAGTAATTGCTATGGAAAAGTGCCAGGGTGGAGACAGCTGTGGTAAGTTGTTCTGTAAGCATACCACAGAATAGATCCTAATGAGCGGAAAGTATTGTAAAACAGTGCATCTTTATCCACCGAACCGGAGAAAAGAGTCATTAGAAACATTCCCATCCGCGCGCAAGTAAACCTTCATTCCCGACTGTTGCTAGTACTTTGATTGCTCTTAACCAAATAGATTTAATTGGTTCAACATCAACTTCATCAGAATGTGTATACATTCGCCTGCTCTTTTCATTATTTAAGCACGTGTATTTTCTGAAATCTTCTTTAGCTTCCATCGTAAGCAATCAGTTCCATGAGTTGGCCATTTATGTGGAGACAGAGATTAAGGTTGTCGAACACGAGTTGCTTTCATTGCACAAGGTGACGGTTAAATTGGAATTAGAGATGAAAGAAGCAATGGACACTGAAGGTTAGTTTTCTATTAACCTTTGCATGAGTCAATATATAAAACCTAACATACTTGCTTCAAACGTGTATAACAGTGATTTTCGAGAGCCTCTATCCTGCATCCCTAGCTTCGAACCTTTCCAACTGTTCACTTTCGTCAAATAGCAGCGGAACTATCCTGCTAGCTGACAGGAATCTTTCGGGATTCGAAGTGCTTATTTTCCCTCACGCAACGCTAAAGGAAAACAGTTTCCTTCCTAGGAAGAGGTAAAGTCTGGAAACAATTATTTGGGTATACCGTCGCGCCAAATAGAGGGTGATGCACGTGTAACTAACTAAACACAAATTGAATGTAGCCTTCTTTAATTTACCCCTTTTAGATCGTGAGGCCGAGTTTGAAAGCTTATCACTTGACTGGTTAGCGCTAAATAAGTTCCGTTCTGAACTTGACGAAAGGAAACAAGACCTTCTTACTCTGTAAGTACATCTTATCCTTAAAAAGCTGTTTTAAACCTTGCCGGATAGTTGGGAACAAGTCAATATGCCCAATTATGAGATGGTAAAACATATTCAATAACCAAAGCGAATGATTTAAATTAACCACATATAAGCACCCTTTTTTTTCATTAAGTATTTTGATTCCTTGCATTGTATTTCCATTTGAAAGTTTATCACATTAAAGCCTTATCTTTCGTCTCTGTTGTTTTTAGTTCCAGACAGGAAAACCGGAAGGAGTGTTTGAAATTCTTACGTCAGGACCTTAAATGCCTGTTTGAAGTCGAAGGTGGGAATCAGTTTCTAAGTTATATCCTCAGTGTGATAGTCCTAAATTTTCTCTTGTATGATGTTAAACAAGTAGTCTGTTACCCACGTCTGGGTTTTTTTATGCAATCTTTTATTTTTTTGCCATCGTATGGTGAGTGATGTTTTATTACGTTTTCTGCTGCAGGTTGGAAGAAAACCGAAGAACACAAAGATCAGGAAAAGAATGTCCTGGATCTTATTCTCAAGTTGAGCAACATGGCCTGAATAACAAACTGCCTTAAAAGTAAGAATCTTGCATTTTAATTCAGTTGAAATGCTTTTGGTTCTCTTCTTGTAATCTTACTTTCCATTCTATAATGAGTTTGCCACGAATCATTTGGATTATGTTGATTTTAACAGACTTCACTATGAATAACAATGGCTAATCCTACTTTTCGCTTTCCTTTCCTTTTGCAGTCTCGATTTCACAACCATTTCCTTATTTCTGGTCAGACTTGTATAGTAGCATGTTTTTATAACAACAAGAGATTACAATCTCTTGTTAAAAATTCTTTGTAAATCTATAAATTTTGGGCAGTTTCATTTTTTCAATGTAAAGTCCTTTCTCCAAGAGAATCATTCAGATATTATCCTTGAATCATGAGATTACTTTATTTGTCATACAATTTTCATGTACATAACTGCTATGAATTCAAATAATGTTTATTGCTGTAAAATTTTCATTTTTTAACATAAGTAACTATCTTTATCTTTTCTCGTCTTTTTTTAATTGCTCGGAACTGTTTGATGAGTATAAATACCTATTTTGCGAATGTAATATCTTAAGTTCAGGGTCACGGACAAAAAAGTAGACCTAATAAGGTTTCTTTTCATTACGACCGTGTTATCTTTTATTTTGATTGCGTTTTATTTCTAAGCTGAAGGTAGATAGATCTAAGGTAAAGTCATAGTTTACGTATTTCAATCCAATGGCTTTGTTTTCTTCCAATCAGATGCGCTGATATAGAATCATTTGTAATGAAAGTGACGTAAGCGGCCACAAAATCACTGCACGTAACTGAATACTTCGCCTCTGGCACTGAATCCTTTTTTTCCTGTCTGCTCTTCTCTTTCTTTTTCTGTTTTCTTTTCTCGCTTTTTTATTCGATTTTCGGTGGGTAGCTTATTTGTAGGTAATTCGTATTTTTAATTTAAACTTAGTGTTTTTTAGGTATTTTGTAATTTGGGTTTAGAATCTTTTTGGGGAATTTTCCATTTTTTTTTTGCTTTTTTCTCTCCTTTACTATTTTGGGTTGTTTTTGTTTCCATTTTTGTTTCCTTTTATCTTCTTAAAATTGCCTTTTTCCACAACCTGTATTAACAGCGATTCAAACGCTGTGGGTTATGTTGGGTGGTTTTCTGGCTGCATGCGTCACTTTTTTTTGCGATCAATCCATATCAGTGCTGATGATTAACCGAATGCTAAGACAAGGACACTGGGACTCATTGAGTATAACGTCACGCCATTACTTCACCAGGGAAAGGAGTAACGTAATCGCCTTAGGTTTTTTCTTTCAAATTGACACGAGATCATTTTTGATTCAATTGTGAACATATTGAGTTGCCTATTTTTCATTGCGATTTTTTTCGCTATTTCCTTATTTTACCTTGATTTGTAATAATTGTAAATAAATGTAAATAAAAAAGAAGCACGACTTTTCTCAAGTCTTTTATAAAGTCCATCTTCTCGCTCTTTTGCTGTAGATTGACAATAATAATAATAACTTTAATAGTAACATCCTCGTGAGGTTTTTCAGGAACTATTTACAAACTCTTTACAATTTATAAAAGCAAAAATGACAATAAAACTCGAAATCACAATTTATGATGGTTTTCTACTAAATTAAATTCTAGAGCTTATGAAGGAAATGTCTGCCTCAATAGTGTACCTTTCAGGGCGCGCTTGAAAGATGCTAATGAGGCACTTTGCCTAAGTTCATTATGCAAGTTATTCCATATGTTGGCCCCTCTGTAGGAAAATGTGCGCTGGCCTATAGCCGTTCAGTATAGCTGAATCTGCAAAGAGTTCCGCGTACGAGTGTTACGAGTATGTATATCCGAGCGTTTGGCAAACTTGCTCGTTAAGTATTGAGGCGCAAGATCGTTCTGACATTTAAAGGTCAGAACGGAGTCTTTATGGAATAATTGCTCTTTAACAGGAAGCCAATTTAGCTCACGAAGCAAAGGTGTTACATGGTCAAACTTCCTAGAGTTTGTTACGATCTTGCTGGCAAAATTCTGAATAGATTGTAATCTGTTTATATTCTGGAGTGTGGTATTTGACCATACAGATGAGCAGTAAAGCATCTTACTAAAGACTAATGACGTCATTAACAACTCTAGTGTTTCCTAGTCGAAGCTTCTCTGGACTATTTATTTGGCAAAGCTTTGCGAAACAAGATGACATTACACATGAAATATGGTGATCGTAGGTCAGATGGGGGTCAAGAAAGACTCCCACGTCCTTGGCAGAGTCTGTCGGCTTCAGTGTTTTACCCAAGAATACCAATTTAGGGTCTTCTGGTAACCTGCTTCACATCTGTCTGATACCGAGGAAAAGTAGTTTAGTTTTATCGGGATTGATAAGTAGATGGTTCTCACCGCACCATTGAGCTACAATGTGAAGATCTTGTTCGAGATTTTCAATGGCAGCATCAAGCTCAACGAGAGGGAATGACATGAATAGCTTTGAGTCATCCACATACGATTCTAGGTTGCAAACGGTCGGAGCCGTGGGTAAATCGTTGAGATAAATGCAGAACAACAATGGTGATAGGATTGCGCCTTGAGGGACTCCCTGAGTTATAGGTAGAGTGTCAGAGTAGGCGGAGCTAATTCTCACTTATTGCCTGCGACCAGTTAAATAGCTCTTGAACCATTTGAAAGTAGAAGGTAAGGCTCCTAAGATGGAGAGTTTTTGGAGCAACCTTGCATGGTCAATACTGTCAAAGGCTTTGGATAGAGCTAATAGTACTAGTGCTGTTATCTGCTTTTTATCCATTGCTTCGAGTATCTTATCCGTGAGTAGGATGTTTAAGGTCTCTGTAGAATGAGCTTTTTTATTGCCGCTTTGGCGTGAGGTAAGGCGGTTGTTTTTTGTGAGATAGGCGCTGAACTGGTTCAAAACAATCCTTTCGAGGACCTTTGAGGCTACGGCTAGCAGAGATAACGGTCTAATGTTGGCAGCTTTTTCATGGTCATCGTCTTTAAGAATCGGAATCACCTCAGCCTCTTTCCAGTTGTCTGGAAATGTGCTAGTAAGGATAGAACAATTGATGATGTCAGTAAGAGGGCCCAATATGACAGGGAGACAGTCTTTTAGTACTCAAGCGCTGATCTTGTCAGGTCCCGGAGATTTATTCATTGGGAGAGATGTTACAATTCGGCGAACCTCTTCAAGTGACACTGTCCTTAAATTGAATAGTTCCATAGAGGTAGTATCTATGCCATTTTCGGATGAAAAATCTCGGACTATGATGTTTTCCCTCAAGCGCTGTGCTGCGTCAGCGGCGTTTAAGCCGACTTTAGCAAAAAACTGATTGAATTCGTTGGTTACGACTGCCACATCCTTTGTAAAGGCTGGTCTCTGCTCATCTTTGGAGGGGATGGCGCGATTAATAATTTTCCAGAGTGAGCCAGAGTTGTTTTTATTAGCTGTGACCTCTTCAAAGGTGTGATCTCTTTAAGCTTCTTGTAGCTTTTTCTTGAACAAGTCACGGGAATGTTTGAAATTTATCCACTCGGTGTCTTGGCGAGACTGTATGAATTGCTTCAGGAGGAGATCTCGTGATCTCATAAGATCCTTGATTTCCTGGTTCACAAAGGGGCACGGTCTACTCCGAAGTTTAATTTGTTTTATTCTTGTCATCGTTACTATTATTATTTTTTATATTTCTATTATTAGTAGTATTATAATTACGATTATCATTAGTATTTTAACTTCCATAAATCATTGTGATTTCTGATCGTCAATTTCTTCGTTTGTTAGAAGCAACGAACGTTTCCGTGGAGCTTTCAAATACCAATTTTAATTTCGTATTCATTCCAAATTGCGGCGTGGCTACGAGCTCAGTAGTAAGAGCTATTTGTAATGGCGTCCTAGTATCACCGGAGTAAAACAAAATTGCTATCGTATTGACAAGTTTTCATTCAGTGCCTCTAGTGTTTAAATATCACTTAGTGATTATTACTACAATAGGGCACTCAGGGGGAATTACAATCGCAGGAATGTTCGCAGCAGATCTGAAAGGTTCATTTTACGCCCTTAAATAAAGAAAAGAAAATTTTGGTGCCACTCGAGCTCGTTGAACTCCCCATGGATGTAACTTCTTGACAGCAGACAAGCGTAGGATCTCAAAAGTTCTTGTCCAGTACAATGAAAACAGATTTCACTCCAGTCCTCCTTGAGCGTAAGTTAATAGTCGACTTGAAACCCTGATGAAGCTTTATCAAAACACAAACCGTTTGTGATTTGTGAGTCAGTTGATTTGTCAGTTTGTGATTCTATCTTTAATTGTATTTTTTAGGGCGGTCTAAGGTGGGAAAGGGAAAAAGTTTACACTATTATGGCTAGGATTGTAGCTTGTTCAGTATTGTTATCACACCTCACATCTCTTCGTACACTGTAAGAATTTGGTTTCTTCAAACGAGAGGGTCAGATCGGAGGGGGGAGGGGTAAAGGGGAGAGGGTACTAATGCACGCCTTTTTTCAACCAAAGGGTCACCCTTGTATCAGCTGACTGTTAAATATTTCCTTTAGAAATAAATAGGAAGAAAACACAAAGAATAAAATAACCTAAATCGTTATGAATCGACTTTAAAGCCATAATGGTACACGAGTGAGGAAATGAAAAGAGGCGGACATTTTTTTTCCCAAATGCAACTATTTTCCTCATTTAGCTACTTCTACTTCTACTTCAACTGTTATGGAGAAATTTCAAGTTATTCCAACCGGCCTCAGTCAATGCAATGCACTGAGCGCGCGCAACATGCATTCGAAGCAATTATTTTCATGGTAACATGACATCACAATGAACGAAGCAGAAATCCTTGGAGTTCGTCTGAGAAATTTTGTGAGAAGCAGCAATGGCTTGTGTTCTCATACCGTTCCATCGGGAAAAAGCAAGAGCTGATAATTTTTTGATCACAGCATCTGTTTCGTTACTGAATGTTGAATTACGCAAGAAAAGGTGGTAAGGGACAAGATAAAGTATTTTCTTTCTCTCTTTTCTATTAAAAGTTTAGCCTTCGAAGCTACTTGTCCCACTAGAGTCAGACTTTTTCTTACTTTTCTGATTCGAAAATGATCAAAAGTTAAACTCTGACAAAGCGTACAATTTCGAAAACAATATAAATTTCACTATGATTAATTGAATTGAGGAAAAAATATGCGTTTTAGAATTTGGTCGAGTTCGATTACACTGTTGAATACCGCGTGAGACTTAAGCAACAGAAACAAAGGGTCTCTCCCCAAACTGAATATTGTTTGCCCTTTGAAGTTGCAAGACTCGGTGAAAAACAAATACTAAGCTAATTGGTATTTTTCACGGCAGTGCTGCGAGAGAAAGTTTTTGATAAATGTTAATTATTGATAGCGAGGCGGGGGAGGGTTTAGTTTTACTAGTTACCAGTCTTGGCTCAAAGACATCATGGCGAACGCCTTGAACATACGATGTACTTCTTTGCCTTTTGTCGTATTCTAAAATAACAAAAGATGTAAGTGCATCTCAGCCCTTGAATTGTAAAACGTCAACGCTTATACAAGGATAGAATCCGCACTGAACAGAAATATGGCTAACTATGGCAACTTTTTCACATTATGCTGACATTCGTGTTTTGTTCCTTAATTAGGTATCCCTCCAAGCTTGCAGTTCTTTGGAAAAAAAGGAAAGAGAAATACAGTACAAAGGTAGTCAATTTAGACTTTGGATCTCTTATCTTTCTCTCTTAGCTCATTAAACGTTATTGATTTCTTAATCGTCAGTTTGAGTGAAAGAAATATTTCTTGCAATTACTTTTTCTCTCAGCCGGTAGCATGGTTTGGAGGTGTTGAAAATGGTTATCGTGGTGGTCATTTTTGGCCTGAGCCTGATCCAGTAGATAGTAAACTTACTCTCCTCAAGGTAAATTTAAAATAAAGGCAACACGAGTTAGAAATTTGGGGACAGATTTCCGTAAAGTGCCGCAGCATTCGGAAACGAAATTGTGGTCCGAAAGACCTGCTTTCGTCATAGTTGTCTTTATCCAAGATCTCTTTGCATAATGAACAATGGGGAAGTGCACAAATCTTGGCCAACTCTTCGAAACCATAGTTTTCGTAAACACGTTATACCTATTTACTGAAGCCTTCCTTGCTTTTTTCTTAGGCTTGCTCCCTCCTTCGATTCAATTTGCGTTCAATTTTAAGAAATTTTGAAATAAAAACAGTCCATCTTTCGTTAGGAAGAATTTTTTAAGCCACAAGGTTTTTAATATCGCTTAACCTCTTGCGTTGGATTTACTTTGTAGTATTATGTTAATTTATTAATGTTAAATCTATTATAACTTTAATTGGAACAGTTCAAAGTACAACAGCTGAAGAGAAAAAAAAATTATGAAATGCTATTGAATCTATGAAACGTTTGAGGACAGATAATTAAATTTATATTGCCAAAACCATGATATGAACTTTATTTCACAATAACGCTCCCTAGAGGTTAAAAGACACTGCACAGGCAAAATTAATAGGGACCTTAACCAGTTAGGAGAGTGATGCCAAGGAAGACAAACTGATTAAAAAAGAAATCTATATTTTGTTTGGAATTTCCTGTATGGCAGCATGAATGTTTTTACTGTCTCTAACAGTGCCGCATCTCAACCTCTGCATAATGTGTGTGATTCACATTGAGTTCCATATTGAAAGTGAAATAATTTTCTGTCAGTGTTCCTGTACACAGACCACGCCAAATTTGGTTACTTCACGTTGTTGTTTGGCTAAGGACAGCTTCAACATAAAAAAAGTTCTAAATGCTAGTGCTTAGCTATTGTTCTCCTCATTTGGTCTTTTGTTTTGCCACATATTTGTTTCCATCATTCTCATGATTTGTTCAAGGTCCCTAATACTGTTGTTATCAAGTTTGTTTCTTTGTTTTAAAACAATATTTATTTGTATTTGTAGAACCCAGAAGATGAAATGACAGAATATCAAGAAAAGCAGTGGAATATTTACATCTGTAATGTAAGCTTTTCCCTTTTCAATTTTACATGAGTATGTAGTCGCTCTTTGCCTTTGATACTATTTTCACTCCAGGCAGTTTGGAGTAAATCTGAACACTTTTCATCTTCCTCTTGCTTCTTTGAAATCATTAGGTGTCCCCCAGTGGTTGTCACCAGCTTCTGGCCACTGGCTGTATTGATATCAGCAATTACATTACAGAGATGCCTGGAAAAGTGGAAGTTACTGTCACTCTTAAGCCAGCAATCAAGAAAGTTGTTTCTGGTAAAATTGAGTTTGAATTATCATGGATTATCCAGGAAGATGACGGAGTCATTCAGTGAGTATTCTTCAATAATTTCCATAGCTAGTTATTGTAATGATCATCTAGCTTATGTTTGGCATTTATAAGTCAGTTACTATCATAATGTTATTTTAGATCCATGAACTTGATCAATAAACTTTCAAAGTGAGATATTATCATTTTTGCTGCATAATCACAAGGGTCAACTAAAATCTAAAAGTTACTTGCTCAATGGTTTTTATTCATGCAATTATTATTTGTTTTGTCTAAAAGTAATTGCATTGTGAAATTCCATTAACTCTTTTGCATTACCTTTACAGTCCCACAGATGAAGAGATATGGGAAGAGATAATGCAGGAGGTCAGGGAGGAACAAGCAAGAAGAAAAGCTGAGGGAAAGACAGCCAAGTATAAATCTTTGAAAAAAAGAAGGCGCAGGAAACGTGGCTGCTCAAGTAATACAGACATTGCAACTGAAGAAGACAAAAAGAAAGATAAAAGCAATAAAGTTGGCTGCTCAAGTGGTACAAAAATTTCTGTTGGGGAAGATAAAGAAACTATTGAACAACAAGGTGGCATCTTCCCAAATGCTGAAGCTCAGGTGGATCCCTCATCTGGCAGCAATACCAAAGTGGGATCAGGAAAGGTCGGGAGGCAGTCTCCACCTCATCATGCACATCTTAGCCCTGTTTCACCCCAAACACACCCACCTGCTAGCCAGGGTCTGCCATTAGAGAGTGAAGAGAAAAAAGAGTTGCAGAGTAAAAGGAACCTTCATAAAACTGTAAGGTTTCGAATTGATGAACAGCCTGAGGTATTACATCTTGTTATACATGATGAAGAAGCACTGGACTCCTTGTCAGAAACTGTTTACAGAGAAACAGTTTTCATAAAGGAAGATGGAGTCGCAACAAAAGAGAAGTGCATTCCCAAGAGAGATGAAAATTCATGTAAGTTCTGTTTTGATTTCCAGCCTCCCATTCCAAATGGAAAGGGGCTTAAATTTGAATACTTTTCTCCTGTTGGATCTGATTTATTTTCAATCAAACAGTTTTATTGTAAGACTCCTTGGAATTACAACTATTTTTGTTGATTATTGATGTTAACTTTTTTGCTCAGCCTTAAGTGGAAGCCAGCTTCACTCAGAGTTGGCCAGTTATGTTGAAGAGGAACTGAAGCTTGTTCAAGATGAATTATTATCTTTGGAAGAAGTCCGCTCAAAAGTAAAACTTGAAATGCAGAGAGCTATGTCATCAGGTGGGTGATCCATTTCCAAAATGATAAAGTGAAATACCTTGGAATTTCAAAAAAACTTATGTTAAGTTCTTTTCCCCACTAATGAGTTATAAATCTTTAACTCCAGGATCTTATTGGTAATTCTCTTTACTGTCTGCAGTACAATTTGATATTAGATCAGTAAATTTGGTATTGAATGGACTAATGCTATTGTTTTGATATTATAAGGATAAATTCTGTCTAGATCATTCTCAGGAGTGAAAGCATTAAAAATATTAAAAAACAGCTAATCCCCAAACTAGAGATACTGCAAGTTTCTACACTTATTTCAGGTGTTATAAGCCATGCTTAACTTACACAGCTTATACAATGTATTTGTTTACTTTTTGTCTGTAGACCACAAAGAAGAGTTTGAAAGCTTAAACCAAGGCTGGCTTATATTGGATAGCTTCCATTCCAAAGTGTTGAAAAGAAAAGAAGATCTTCTTGCCCTGTAAGTAATAAAGACTTATTTTAGAAACAAAATAAACATGTCCATTATGACCTAAAATGTAGTCTTACATTGTAATCCATGATCCAAAAACTCTGCACAGGTGCCTTTATATGTTTACCAATTGCCTTTGATATGGATAACTGATCTATCTATCATATATTGCTTAATTAGTTCCTCTGGATTCATTTTTGTTATTGTTAATAATAAAAAATGTTAGCAATGGAATGACTAATGTTTGATTTACAGATCAAGAAGTTCCACTGTTTGTCCTTGTAATTGATTTGGGTTTTTCAGAGACTGTAGTGGTTCTGCTTAACTAAAGGTTGTATTTAGCTTGAGGCAGATTTGCTTGATTTTCTGTTTTCCTTTCACCCATATAGTGACAAAGGAAAAAACATTGCAAATTGTCTTAACTTGCTGTGTTCAGATTTGAGACGCCTTTCAGAAGTGGAAGGTAAGTATTCAGTTGTTTCTCCTCCTTTTTCTCAGTTTAGTGTTATTGGGACTGGTTTAGTGAGCCTTGATTCTTAACCCTTTACACCCTAACATCATCCTGTATATATATAAATACTCCAAAGTGTTGTCTTTACATTTCCTAAGGTGCTGACAAGTGAGTTTGTTTAACAACCTTGAGTTTCTTTACATAGTGATCATTTCCTTTATCCTTGTGATATTTTCAAGAGAAATTAGTTGCTATTCTCTCTTCAGGGCCAAAGGTATAAGCCAAAATTTAGATGAAGGAAACAATTTTTTGTATTTTGATTTTAGGGTGGAGGAAAACAGATGAGAACAAAGCTCATGAAAAAAGAGTTGCTGGACTCATTGCTGCAATTCCCCAGCGGAGCCTTCATGCCTAAATAACGGTAAGAAACAGTAATCTTAACTAATTTGAAATGCAAGTTATTAATTGTGGCTCTAACACTTCATATTATTGCAGTCAATATTATATCTTAATTAGCTGAAATTCAAGGCTTATAGCTAATCTAATGTTCAGTGTTTTTGATTACTACAATCTAGCAATAAAATGTACTGTCTATAATTCTGTCATATGAAGTGGTGCAGATGTTCTTATGTTGGTTTATTTTCTTTTTTGCATTTCAGAATGAATGAAAATCCGTCTACTATATTTGAATATTGGTCATTTGTGTTCTGGATTCTTGTGAAAAAATTGTGGCAATAATTGCCTTTTAGTAAGAACATGTTGCTACTCTTTTTTCAAACAAATTGTTCTGTAATAAGTTCATTTATAACAGTATCTTAAGTATGATTTTTCTAAAAATGATATATGATATTGAGTGCTCTGTATTCAGAAAGAAAAATTCTTTTGATGAAACATTTTCTCTCCACTTTGTAAATAATCCTTTGTAAATAGTCCAAAATATGTTGTGTAAACAGGTCATGGTGCATTCTTGTTTCAATCTTTTAATGGGATTTCAATTTTTAAGAATTAATTTTTTCCTGCAGTTTTTATGAAGCCACTGTAAGTTTTAATAACAGCACATTCCAAATCCTTTTCCTTATTTTGAAATGATGTACCTTAAGTAGTTTTATAAGTCAGATCTCCTGTCTTAATTGTAAACAATATTTTGTAACTAGCTCATCTTATGGTTTGTGAAGTTTATCATCTGTACAAAAACACTTTTTTCCTGCAATATTCATGAGGCCACTGTCAAAGTAACACATTTCAAATTATTTTTCTTATTTTCAAAAGATCTACTCTTCAAATAGTAATTCACAGGTAAAATGCCTCATACTCTCTTGTCAATATAACTTGCCTAAAAATGAAGAAAAACTTTGTTTACTTCTTGAAGATTTTTTGAGGTAAAGCAAAGCAAATGTCAACAGTCATGCTAAGTGGTTACATGTGCACATGTGGCAGTTTGGTTTATAAGTGAATCAGTATCGGTGCTGATGTTGGGGGAACACATTGTAATGGAGACTGAGAGACAATCAGAGTGACTTCAATATATATTCAGAACTTAACCTCACAGAAATAATGACATAATCAATTCAAGTTGACCTTTCAAATCTGTGACATGCCAGTCCTTCTCATTAATTTAAGCTTGAAACTCTTTCTTGGTGCAGTTGAAGTCTTTTTTGTCAATCACACATGAAGTTTTTTCTTTGTTGCATAAAATTTTATATGTAACACGCTTGTACTGACATTGGTATTGAGGTCATTAAACAGTGGCTCTGAAATAAAAAAAAAAAAAAGTTAAAAGTTTATGCTCATAACTTCCTGTTATTATTGGATAGTTTCTTTTAATTTGTAGTACTTTTGTATGGACATTACTACTGAGATCGTTTTGCAGCGGCTTCAAAGTATGAAAAAAATCTGTAATTATTTTCTGGTTACTTATCATATTATTTTTTAATATTCTTTTATGAATGTTGGTTTTGAGATAATTCTACAGTGGCTTCAAAGTATGAAAAGAAAAACCTGTAAGTCAAGTATTAATAAACTTTGTTGTTGTAAAGTATGTGATGATCATTGTTGTGTTCATGAGGCCATTTCAATTGAGTGTCAAAATTAAAGTGATCCGTGATTGCGACAGTTTTACTTCACCATCCTCAGTGATTGGGCCAGAAAACTCGCCCCAAATGTAGTACTGCAACCTAATGAGAGAGATACGAGGGAACTATTAGATGAGCTAGGCTGATTATGTTTTACAAGATGACTATCGTCCCGTTTTAAAATTTCCTTAGCCGGTCAAGATTGAAGAGATCTTGACGCAAGTGTTAAAGAAACAAACCAAAGAAATAATGGCTATGACATCAAATATAACAATAACTTTTCGATCGTCAGACAACAAGCTTAACTCACTTGTCATGTGTCGAGTCGGTACTCAGAGAGCTTAGATACACAGATTGTGCTGTGAGCCTCCTGTTGGTCGATCAATTCTGATAACAAGTAGTGTGATAATCAGGATATGTATGGTACCATATGATACACAGGTCACTATCCACTCAGAGCTTTCACCCAACTTCACAGGTTATAACTGTTGTGCAAGATTTTAAAAGAAGGAAAATCATAAACATAAACGGTAAAAAAATTTGTGTAACTGTGTAATCATGGTATTAAAATCGCCTGGTTGCTAATTCTACCTCCGTCACCGAAACGCGGAGGGGGACAGGGGGCAGGAGCCCGGGAGAACAGGGGGCGGGAGAGCGCGTGAAGCGGGAGCAGAAATAAAGAAGGCGATATTTTGTTGTTTATTACTGAGTATTATTCAATCAAGAACACTTACCTGGCAAAGTTTTGAAATGTCCATTTAATATCACCAGTGCTTAAAAGAAAATTTTGGAAACAAGAAAACGTAAATTTGTACTCGGGCTGGAAAAACAGCATTACTTCCGGTGAATTTGGAAATCCCTTCAATTCGATTACGTCTTAGGTCATGAGATGGCATGACACATGACACATGTACACGTCTGGTAAGTAATAGCTGTCGAAAATCTTCAGCAAAGAGAGCGATTCAAGTTCATACAGGTCAAATGTCGTCAAAGACTACATTAATCGGCCTCAGTATTTTTCGGTGTGGCAACGAAAAATCCGTTCATGGAAGACCGTAGGAGCTCGCTCCGCACGAGTGTACATCCCAAATTACTGAAGATTTTTCCTCCTGGTGCAAACTTAAAACTTTCCGCAGAAGTTTAAATAAGCTTTCAACCTATCGAGAAAATCTGATAATCAGCCGACAACGAATGTTCAATCATGCTTCACCAACAGTTAAACTGAACACTCAAAATGCAAATGGTTCAATAATTGGTGTGCAGTGATTTAAATCATCCTTTGGAGTAAGCTTTTTTATTTGCTCACGACTAGCTACGACAAGTTACTTACATCAAAAAGGAAGAGCAAGTACGGATTCAGGAGAAGCAAATTGTAAAAGTTACGTCTGGCTCTTGATTTTTATAATTGCTTTTGAAACGGTATTCCTAAATGCATGGAAAAGTCTATATTAAATTGCAATAGCTATTACATCACACAGAGGACTGAGACGTTCGTCTTTATAACGAGATGTCAGACGCGATGGTCAAACTGTGATAACTAGGTTAAACTTAGTTTAATTAAGAAAACTGACCTGTAATAACTTTCATCGGTCCGATAATCCTCCCGCCAAAACAAAGGCCAGAAGATGAACAAGAATGTTAAGTTTTGGCTCAGTTTGAAAGTTAATGATCGATTACATTTCTTTGTGCACCGGGAGCCTAGGGAAGTTACATTGCCTAGAACCACTTGACAGTGAACGAAAGCAAATGAATGATCAGCAATGAACTTGAAAACTCCTAGGCTTAACCTCTGTGAGCTGACAGCGCGAGCACCTACCACTGCCTCCTCAGGCTTACCGCGCATTTCACAAAGATATAGTTGCACAAGGTCAGTCATTCCATCTTCTTGGCCACATGACGTGTCCACAATCCTCCTTTCCACCTGAATTGTTAGTTTCCATATCGTTCCAGCGAGTATAACTAACTCGAGATCCGTCAACACACATCCAGCGTCTTTTGATACTAGGATGTCTATACAAGCCGATCCATATCCATTCATTTGGTGTACGTAGAGAGGCAACGGCTTGTTGCTCGGCTGCTGAATTTTTCGAGGCAAGCTTGCCTCGAGAATTTAGCACCTGAGCAAAAAGCTGTTGCCTCTCTACGTACACCAAATGAATGGATATGGAGCAGCTTGTATAGACATCCTAATATCGAACCATTGATCCATAATAATAATGACAATTATGATAATAAAAATAATGACAAAATTATAATTATAATTATTACAATAATAAAACATGATAATAATAACAATAACGATAATTGAAATAATTAATAATAATAATATTAATAATTTTTTAGGTAGTATGATATTCGCTGATAGTGGATGAGAATTTGTGTTCATGAGTTCATAAGACTTGTAGAATCTAATTTTCACGGCTTGGTCGTAGATAAACCGCCTTCAATTTCTTCAGTGTCTGAAAAGAGTTCTGCTGCTGCCCTTGGGTGGCTTCAGTTTATTCTGTTGTCATATTTTGGAAAATGAGTTTTTAACCATTTAAATAATGGTTATATATTGCTATTTGGTTCCTTTGGCGCTCGTCCTGTTATCAAAGCTAACATCCCTTCTCACTGTAGAAATAGACGGATGTTCCTTGGCTCCAAAGTTGCAAATTGAGAAATGCATGTGACTGACTTTTGAATATCAGAACTAAGGGAAAGATTTAGGATTTAGGATTTTAAGCTATTCTTGTTTTTACCTTCTGTATTTTGACAGTATGATAAATGTTATTACGGATTCCACGCTTTAGATACTCCTCTCAAGTAAATCTCTGGAAAAACTAAAAACACACGAACGATACGCCTAAAGAGGAGTGAGACCCTACAAAGATTCGGCAACTTTCTGAAAACGCAGTTCAGAACGGCAAGTTTCAGGTTTCTCACCATTTATTCATATGGGTATGTTTGAGTCGAAACATTTTGACAGAAGTCTATTGTAGCTGGTTACCTGAACGCTCGCTGTTGCGATAGAGGCTAAACTCCAAAGTCCGTAAATAAAAATAAATTCAACTTATCAATTTGAATAAACTTGTAAATACATTTGGCTGTAAAAATAGCCTTCAAAAAGTCTTTTGACAGTCTTGAAAATAAGCAATCGAAAAAGTTTTGATAATCAAGAGTTAAAGAAAAATTAAACAAATGTACACGTCAACCACAGTGTTGATCAGATCATGCACGTCACGCTATATATAAGAAAGGTTACCAAGGCAGGACGGATGGGAAAATTGCAATTCCAAAAAGGAACACCCAAAACTCACACTTCTACGCCTGGTCTTTGGTGAATTTGGCAATTTTAACTTTATAGCTCCCTTGTAAAAATAAAAAAGTGAAATTTAAAAGGCCAAGTGGTATTTTAGGAACGATTTTGCAAATAAAAAGACAATTTAAAAAAAAACGGCATTTGTAATATCCATGCTAGATTCACTTTGCTGTCAACTTTAATGCTGGTTTTCCGAGGAAAATCAACCGAACGACAAAACTTCTCATTTATTTTCATTCCTATATGGCCAACTAGTAAACTGCAAGCAGTTTATTTATTTTTGAAACGTCTCAGAGTTTTTACGTGATTTTCTGTTAGTATCTAATATTGGCTTTACGCATCATCATCACGCTTAACTGAACGGTATTTCGGCGTGCACATCAGTATAAAACAATTACGGCTTTTTTCGTTACGGAGGAAGTTTGATATACAGAAGTAAGACGACTTATCATTTATTTTGAATCAAGTCATAGCTTTCGTTCCTGTGAAAAATCAAAAAAACTACTTACAGTGGCGCGGTACACTGGGAATGAGACTAGAAGCTATCGTCATGGCTACATGACATCACAATAGATAAACAGAAGATTTTCATTCCTCTGAAACGCATGTGATCGTTTTCAACAAAAGGAAGCAATCATGAGTTTTTTGAAGAAAATGCGTGGAAAAAGTCCAAGTAAAAATCATCAAGAATTACAATTGAGAGCTTCGGTTCCTTCTCCGACTGTGGATTGTGCCAAAGACAAATGGTAAGTGGAGAAAAAAAAGAGTAGAAAACTCATCGGGAAAGATCACCGATAAATGTAGGCATGTTAGATTTAGGTGAAGTTTTTTTTTCTATTTGCGCTTTTGGTACGGCAAGAGAATAAAGCAGCCGTTACAACAGAAACCACGCCAGCAAAAGAAAAAAAACCAACAGTTTGTTTTTAAGTCTGGGACAAAAACTGAATGACTCCAAGCAATTTACCACTTAACTTGCGCTTTTTTAGTTTCATCGACGCGCGCTAAATCTCAGTTTAAAGAGGCCAATGAAATGATTTTTGGAAATCGCGGGGATATGACGGCAATTGAGACTCAGAAAAATGAAACTGAAAACCTCTGATAGACTGATGTGAAGATAACAAGATCCCAAATTTTCGAAACTCCATTTTCAAGGAAGGCTTAGATATAAAGCAAGTTCATAAAAAATTGAGTCAAAGTGTTATTTCTTGCTCTTTTAGAATATTAAGGGAACATTTTGATTACTTGAATTCACTGTACCCTTGTGATTATCTTGCAGTCTCCCAGACAAGAAAGATACCATCAGGGAAGAAAGCAGGAGACTGTCGCGTCCAAGATCCTTAAAGAGTTTCCGAAAGGAAAAGCGCGATGGCGATGTTACCAGGGCTGCTGCCTGTTCGAAGGTAGCCACCACAAAGGTCAATGCTGCTCCACTTGCTCCATTGTCAGGCGTGGTTGGTAACCATGAGAAAAAGAAGGAAGCGAAAGCTGGTGCTGACAGTAAAGGTAATAGTTCTCAGGCGGTTTCGTGTCGAGGCCGCAATAAAAAAAGATCAGGACTAACAAAGGTCAAAAGGAAAGCTCCACCTTCACCGCTGCCTCTCTCTGAGAGGCCTTCCATTTCTCACACCAGTCCATCCCAGTCTGGTTTACCTCGTCCTGTTTCAGCCCGTCCTTCTCCTCCGATATCTCCACCGCGTCAACCACCAACTCGTAAGATGGCTCCACCTCGCCCCCCTCCACCGAATATGAAGCAGCCTGGAAAAAAGAGTGATACCACAAGTGTTAAGAAGAAGGAAAACGAGATGCGCCACTATCCAAAGGATCTAAACCCGTTTGCAAGTTCCAACGGTACCACCGATAATGACTGCTCGTCCCAGAACAGCGGGAAGGCCTCGAGCGCTAGTCGCCAAAGGCATAAAAGAAGACGGAAGAACTCTAAAAGTGGAGAATACCCGATGGAAAATAATCCATTTAATGATACTGATGGGATGAGCGAGACGCCCTCCAGTACTCGTCGTCAAAGGCGTAGCAGAAAACGGAGAGAATCCATGAATGAGGAATACAAAATGGAGACATCTCATCTAGTGATACTGATGACATGCGCAACAAGCCCTCCAGTACTCGTAGTCAAAGGCGTAGAACAAAACGGAAAGAATCGAATGGTGAAAAATACAAAATGGAACACAATCCATCCAATGATACCGATGAGGAAAATAGTTCGTCAATCTTGCAGTCGACCGATACTTCTGACATGTGGTCTGTTTCTTCATTGGAAGATATTCAGTTTGTGGTGAACACAGCTACAGTAGAAGAGATAAATGTAAAGACTGCATTACAAGGCTTGGCTGCCAGCAATGAAAAAGACGAACAGGTTGACCGAGAAGCTTCTGGTGACTCAAAGGCCCAGTCCTTAGCATCTGATAAGAAGGTCTCTCCTGATGATCTCCCTTCCACAAAGAAGGATAATTTTCCTGCAAGTATCGGATCAACAAACCTTGATGCTTCGACTGCTAAAGATTGTTCAAATGTGGGCGAGAGATCAATTATCAAGCAAGTACAACCTTCCGAGGAAGTAATTGCTATGGAAGAGTGCCAGGGTGGAGACAGCTGTGGTAAGTTGTTCTGTAAGCATACCACAGAATAGATCCTAATGAGCGGAAAGTATTGGAAAACAGTGCGTCTTTATCCACCGAACCGGCGAAGAGGGTCATTAGAAACATTCCCATCTGCGCCCAAGTAAACCTTTATTCTTGACTGTTGCTTGTATTTTGATTGCTCTTAACCAAATAGATTTAATTGCTTCAATATAAACTTAGACAGAATGTGTATACATTCGCCTGCCCTTTTCATTATTTAAGCACGTGTATTTTCTGATATCTTCTTTAGCTGCCATCGTAAGCAATCAGTTCCCTGAGTTGGCTATTTCTGTGGAGACAGAGATTCAGGTTGTCGAACAAGAGTTGCTTTCATTGCACAAGGTGATGGTTAAATTGGAACTGGAGATGAAAGAAGCAATAGACACTGAAGGTTAGTTTTCTATTTTTTACCTTTGCATGAGTCAATATATAAAAACTAACATATTTGCTACAAACGTGCAGAACAGTGCTTTTCGAATGCCACTATCCTTAATCCCTAGCTTCGAACCTTTCCAACTGTTCACCTTCGTCAAATAACAGCCGAACTATCCTGTTAGTTGAGAGGAATCTTTCGGGGTTCAAAGTGCTTGGTTTCTCTCACGCAACGCTAAAGAAAAACAGTTTCTCTTCTAGGAAGAGGTAAAGTCTGGAAACAATTATCCGGGTATACTGTCGCGCCAAATAGAGGGTGATGCATGTAACTAACTAAACACAAATTAAATGCAGCCTTCTTTAATTTCCCCTTTTAGATTGTGAGGCCGAGTTTGAAAGCTTATCACTTGACTGGTTAGCGCTAAATAAGTTACGTTCTGAACTTGACGAAAGGAAGCAAGACCTTCTCACTCTGTAAGTACATCTTATCCTTATAAAGCTGTTTTAAACCTTTTAATCGCTCTGACGAAGGGCTAACGCTCGAAACGTCAGCTTTTTTACCCTTTACGGTGGCTAATTTACGTTTTCAACCCAGTTGTTAACACTAAATTACCTGCTATACTCTCCCACCGACGCAGCACCACAGTTTCTTTAGAAACTTACCCCTTTATTCATTTGTTTTAAGCCTTGCTCGATAGTTGGGAACAAGTCAATATGTCAAATTATGGTAATACATATTCAATAACCAGAACGAATGATTTAAATTAACCACATATAAGCACTCCTTTTTTTATTAAGCATTTTAATTCCTTGGATTGTATTTCCATTTGAAAGTTTATCGTATTAAAGCCTTATCTTTCGTCTCTGTTGTTTTTAGTTCCAGACAACAAAACCGGAAAGAGTGTTTGAAGTTCTTACGTCAGGACCTTAAATACCTGTTTGAAGTCAAAGGTGAGAATCAGTTTCGTTATTTCTTCAATGTGATAATGCTAAATTTTTTTTTTTGTATGATGTTAAACAAGTGTTCTGTTACCAACACCTGGGTTTTTTATGCAATCTTTTATTTTTTTTATCGTATGGTGAGTGATGTTTTATAACGTTTTCTGCGGCAGGTTGGAAGAAAACCAAAGAACACAAAGATCGGGAAAAGAATGTCCTGGATCTTATCCTCAAGTTGACCAACATGGCCTGAATAACAAACTGCATTAAAAGTAAGAAACTTGCATTTTAATTGAGTTGAAATGCCTTTGGTTCTCTTCTTGTAATCTTCCTTTACATTCTATAATGAGTTTGCCACGGATCATTTGGATTATGTTGGTTTTAACAGACTTCATTATAAATAACAAGGCTAATTCTGTTTCTACTTTCCTTCCTTTTGCAGTTTCGATTTCACAACTTTTTCCTTATTTCTGGTCTGGCTTGTATAGTACTGATGTTTGTATATGCCTAAGAACAAGAGATTATAATCTCTTGCTAAAAATCCTTTGTAAATCTATAAATTCTGAGCAGTTTCATTTTTCAATGTAAAATTCTTTCTCTCAGAGAATCATTCAGATGTTATCCTTGAATCATGAGATTACTTTATTTGTCAAACAAATTTTCATGTGATTACTATGAATAACTACTATGAATTCAAATAATTTCTACTGTTGTAAAAATTTTCATTTTTTAACGTAAGTAACTATCTTATAGTTCTTGGCAATTTAAAAAAAGACGAGAAAAGATAAAGATCTTTATCTTTTCTCGTCTTTTTTTAAATTGCTTAGAACTATTTCATGAGTATAAACACCTCTTTTGTGAATGTAATATCTTAGGTTCAGGGCCACGGACAAAAGATCTAACCAGATTTCTTTTCATTACGACCCTGTTATCTTTTATTTTGGTTACGTTTTATTTCTAAGGTGAAGGTAGATAGATCTAAGGTGAAGTCATAGTTTACGTATTTCAATTCAATGGCTTTGTTTTCATCCAATCAGATGCGCAGATAAAGAATCATTTGTAATGAAAGTGACGTAAGCGGTTACAAGATCACTGCACGTAACTGAATACTTCACCTTTGGCACTGCACACTTTTTTTTGTTCGTACTTCTCTTTTCTTTTTCTGTTTTTTTTTTCCGCTTTTTTTTTATTTTAGGTGGGTAGGTAATATATTTCTGGGTACTTTTATCATTTTTAAGTTAACCCGAATTTTCAATTTTAACTTAGGTTTTTTTAGGTATTTTGTACTTTGGGTTTGGAATCTTTTTTTGCAATTTTCTCATCCTCACCTTTTTTCCTCCTCTTTTATTATTTTGGGTTGTTTTTGTTTCCTTTTCCTTCTTTCTTTCGTTTTTTCTTCCTTTTTTTCTTTTTGAATAACATTACCCTTTTCCACCACCTGTATTAACAGCGATTCGAACGCTGTTGGTTATATTTGGTGGTTTTCTGGCTGCATGCGTCATTTTTCTTTGCGATCAATCCATATCAGTGCTGATGATTAACCGAATGCTAAGACAAGGAGACTGGGACTCATTGAGTATAACGTCACGCCATTACTTCACCAGGGAAAGGAGTAACGTAATCGCTTCAGTTTTTTTCTTTCAAATTGACATGAGATCATTTTTGATTGAACATATTGAGTTGCCTATTTTTCATTACGATTTTTTTTCGCTATTTCCTTATTATACTTTGATTTGTAATAATAATTATAATTGTAAATAAATTTAAATGAAAAAGAAACACGACTTTTCTCAAGTCTTTTACAAAGTCCATCTTCTCACTTTTTTTGCTGTTGATTTGCCAATAAAAAAGCAATTTCTTATGTTTCATTATTCCCATTAGTCACCATACCCTCACCTCGGTTCGGATTGTTACCCTCATAGGCATTTCAGATTTGAACGATTCATGACCTTGTTTTTACGGTTTTGATGAGAATTGTAGCCATTTTTTTCCAGTTGTGACCGGTTCATAAGGTCAACTGGCCCAGCTCAGATCGACAAGAACTCAGTTGAAACGGTCAGCGATAATTAAATAAGCCAAACGGTTTACATGGCAAAGAACTAGACTTTTTATTACCCAAAAAAAATCTTATTAAGCCTGAGCCAAATAGGAATAACCACATTTTATAACAGAGTCCCACCACGCTCTTTAATCTCTCTGCCATTGTTGTGTGCCCGGCGGACATTTATTGCAGCTTTGTTCGCTCGAACCTTCGTACATAGTCAACGAAACATGTCAGAAGCGCCACGAAACCACAAGCCTCGGGGCGGAGGATGAGGGGGGGTGGGGCGTGGTGTTACCATGTCACCGATTCTGGGTATATTAAAAAACCAAAGAGGTTGATGGTGCAGAATGCGGAAACATTTACGTAAGATAAAAACTGTTCAATTACCTTGGAATTTGCCCAAGATACATAGTAGTGACTTACATTAACCGGGCGTAAATTTGTGGTTTGGGTGTAACTTTAATTTTGACGTTTTAAAACCGTCAACTTTACAAAATTTTTGAGACGATCTCCATTTAAAATAAACCCCGCGTCTCCCCATTACGTTTTCTTCTATTATCTTTATTCTCATAATCATTACTATTATTATTATCATTACTCTCACGGACAAAATATGTAACCAGATTTCTTTTCATTACGACCCTGTTATCTTTTATTTTAATTACGTTTTATTTCTAAGGTGAAGGTAGATAGATCTAAGGTAAAGTCATAGTTTACGTATTTCTGTAAAGAGAGAGGGTACAAATGCACGCCTTTTTTCAACCAAAGTGCCAGCCTTGTATCAGCTGACTGTTAAATATTTCCTTTAGAAATAAATAGGCAGAAAACACAAAAAATACAATTACCTAAATCGTTATGAATCGACTTTAAAGCCATAATGGAGACAAACAGGTACACCAGTGAAGAAATGTAGAGAGGCGGACATTTTGTTTTCCAATGCAACTATTTTCCTCATTTAGCTACTTCTACTTCAACTGTTATGGAGAAATTTCAAGTTATTCCAACCGGCCTCAGTCAGTGCAGTGCACTGAGCGCGCACAACATGCATTGGAAGCAATTATTTTCATGGTAACATGACATCACAATGAACGATGCAGAAATCCTTGGAGTTCATCTGAGAGATTTTGTGAGAAGCAGCAATGGCTTGTGTTCTCATACCGTTCCGTCGGAAAAAAGCAAGAGCTGATAATTTTTTAATCACAGCATCTGTTTCGCTATTGAATGTCGAATTACGCAAGAAAAGGTGGTAAGGGACAAGATAAAGTATTTTCTTTCTCTCTTTTCTATTAAGAGTTTAGCCTTCGAAGCTACTTGTCTCACTAGAGTCAGACTTTTTTTTACTTTTCTGATTAGAAAATGATCAAAAGTTAAACTCTGACGAAGCGTACAATTTCGAAAACAATATGAATTTCACTAGGATTAATTGAATTGAGGAAAAAATATGCGTTTTAGAATTTGGCTGAGTTCGATTTCACTGTTGAATTCCGCGTGAGACTTAAGCAACAGAAACAAAGGGTCTTTCCCCAAACTGAATATTGTTTGCCCTTTGAAGTTGCAAGACTCGGTAAAAAACAAATACTTAGCTAATTGGTATTTTTCACGGCGGTGCTGCGAGAGAAAGTTTTTGATAACGGTCAATCATTAACAGCAAGGGGGAGGGAGGGGTAAGTTTTACTAGTTACCAGTCTTGGCATTAAGACATCATGGCGGCCGCCTTGAAGCTATGATGTACTTCTTTGCCTTTTGTCATATTCCAAAATAACAAAAGATGTAAGTGCATCTCAGACCTTGAATCATAAAACGTCAATCGTTTATATAGGGATAGAATCCGCACTGAACAGAAATATGGCTAACTATGGCAACTTTCTCACATTATGCAGACATTCTTGTTTTGTTCTTCAACTAGGTATCCCCACAAGCTTGCAGTTTTTTGGAAAAAAAGGAAAGCGAAATACAGTACAAAGGTAGTCAGTGTAGACTTTGGATCTCTGTTCTTTCTCTCTTAGCTCATTAAACGTTATTGATGTCTTAATCGTCAGTTTGAGTTAAAGAAATATTTCTTGCAATTACTTTTTCTCTCAGCCTTTAGCATGGTTTGGAGGTGTTGCAAATGATTATCGTGGTGTTCATTTTTGGCCTGAGCCTGATCCAGTAGCTGGTAAACTTACTCTCCTCAAGGTAAGTTTTGAACAAAGGCAACATGAGGTAGAAATTTGAGGACAGATTTCCTTAAAGTGCCACAGTATTTGGAAACGAAATTTTAGTCCAAAAGACTTGCCTTCGTCATAGTTTTCTTTTTGAAACCATCGTTTTCGTAAACACGTTATACCTACTTACTGAAGCCTTCTTTGCTTTTTATTTGGCTTGCTCCTTCCTCCAATTCAATTTGCGTTACGTTTTAAGAAATTTTGAAATAAAAACAGTCCATCTTAATGTTAAATCTATTATAACTTTCATTCTAAAAGTTCAAAGCACAGCAACTGAAGAGAAAAAAAAATTATGAAACGCTATTGAATTTATGAAACGTTTGAGGACATATGATTAAATTTATATTGCCAAAGCCATTATATGAACTTTATTTCACAATAACACTTCCTGGACGTTAAAAGACACTGGACAGGCAAAATTAATAGGGACCTTAACCAGTCAGGAGAGTGATGCCTAGGAAGACAAATTGATTAAAAAATAGATCTAAATTTTTGTTTGGAATTTCCTTAATAGCAGCATGAATGCTTTTACTGTCTCTAACAGTGCCACATCTCAACCTCTGTATAATGTGTGTGAGCCACATTGAGTTCCATATTGAAAGTGAAATAATTTTCTGTCAGTGTTCCTGTACACAGACCACGTCAAATTTGATTTGACTTCAACATGAAAAAAGTTCTAAATGCTAGTGCTTAGCTATTGTTCTGCTCATTTGGTCTTTTGTTTTGTCACATCTTCGATTCCATTGTTCTTGTGGTTTGTTCAAGGTCCCTAATATTGTTGTTATCAAGTTTGTTTCTTTATTTTAAAACAATATTTATTTGTATTTGTAGAACTCAGAGGATGAAATGACAGAATATCTAGAAAAGCAGTGGAATATTTTCATCTGTAATGTAAGCTTTTCCCTTTTCAATATTATGCAAGCATGTAGTCACTCTTTGATATTATTTTCACTCCAGGCAGTTTGGAGTAAATCTGAACACTTTTCATCTTCCTCTTGCTTCTTTGAAATCATTAGGTGTCCCCCAGTGGTTGTCACCAGCTTCTGGCCACTGGCTGTATTGATATCAGTAATTACATTACAGAGATGCCTAGAAAAGTGGAAGTTACTGTCACTCTTAAGCCAGCAATCAAGAAAGTTGTTTCTGGTAAAATTGAGTTTGAATTATCATGGATTATCCAGGAAGATGACAGAGTTGTTCAGTGAGTATTCTTCCGTAATTTCCATAGCTAGTTATTGTAGTGATCATCCACCTTATGTTTGGCATTTAAAAGTTAGTTACTTGATCATGAACTTGATCAATAAACTTTCAAAGTGAGATATTATCATTTTTGCTGCATAATCACAAGGGTCAACTAAAATCTAAAGTTTAGTTGCTCAATGGTTTTTATTCATGCAGTTATTATTTGTTTTGTCTAAAAGTAATTGTATTGTGAAATTCCATTAACTCTTTTGCATTACCTTTACAGTCCCACAGATGAAGAGATATGGGAAGAGATAATGCAGGAGGTCAGGGAGGAACAAGCAAGAAGAAAAGCTGAGGGAAAGACAGCAAAACAAAAATCTTTGAAAAAAAGAAGGCACAGGAAATGTGGCTGCTCAAGTGATACAGACATTGCAACTGAAGAAGACAAAAAGAAAGATAAAAGCAATAAAGTTGGCTGCTCAAGTGGTACAAAAATTGCTGTTGCTGGGGAAGATAAAGAAACTATTGAACAACAAGGTGGCATCTTCCCAAATGCTGAACCTCAGGTGGATCCCTCATCTGGCAGCAATACCAAAGTGGGGTCAGGAAAGGTCGGGAGGCAGTCTTCACCTCATCATGCACATCTTAACCCTGTTTCACCCCAAACACACCCACCTGCTAGCCAGGGTCTGCCATTAGAGAGTGAAGAGAAAAAAGAGGTGCAAAGTGAAAGGAACCTTCATAAAACTGTCAGGTTTCAAATTGATGAACAGCCTGAGGTATTACATCTTGTTGTACATGATGAAGAAGCACTGGCCTCCTTGTCTGTGTTGTCTTCAGAAACTGTTTACAGAGAAACAGTTTTCATAAAGGAAGATGAAGTTGCAACAAAAGAGAAGTGCATTCCCAAGAGAGATGAAAATTCATGTAAGTTCTGTTTTGATTTCCAGCCTCCCATTCCAAATGGAAAGGGGCTTAAATTTGAATACTTTTCTCCTGTTTGATCTGATTTATTTTCAATCAAACAGTTTTATTGTAAGACTCCTTGGAACCTTGAGCTATAAGCACTAAATAAAAATCATAACTTTACATTTTTTAATTCTGAATTACAACTATTTTTGTTGATTATTGATGTTAACCTTTTTGTTCAGCCTCAAGTGGAAGCCAGCTTCACTCAGAGTTGGCCAGTTATGTTGAAGAGGAACTGAAGCTTGTTCAAGATGAATTATTATCTTCGGAAGAAGTCCGCTCAAAAGTAAAACTTGAAATGCAGAGAGCTATGTCATCAGGTGGATGATCCATTTCCAAAATGATAAAGTGAAATACCTTGGAATTTCAAAAAAACTTATGTTAAGTTCTTTTCCCCACTAATGAGTTATAAATCTTTAACTCCAGGATCTTATTGGTAATTCTCTTTACTGTCTGCGGTACAATTCTTATGATATTAGATCAGTAAAATTGGTATTGAATGGACTAATGCTATTGTTTTGATATTGTAAGGATAAATTCTGTCTTGATCATTCTTAGGAGTGAAAGCATTAAAAATATTAAAAAACAGCTAATCCCCAAACTAGAGATACTGCAAGTTTTTACACTTATTTCAGATGTTATAAGCCATGCTTAACTTACACAGCTTATACAATGTATTTGTTTATTTTTTGTCTGTAGACCACAAAGAAGAGTTTGAAAGCTTAAACCAAGGCTGGCTTATATTGGATAGCTTCCATTCCAAAGTGATGAACAGAGAAGATGACCTTCTTGCCCTGTAAGTAATGAAGACTTATTTTAGAAACGAAATAAACATGTTCATTATGACCTAAAATGTAGTCTTACATTGTAATCTATGATCCAATAACTCTGCTCAGGTGCCTATATATGTTTACCAATTGTCTTTGATATGGATAACTGATCTATCTATCATATATTGCTTAATTAGTTCCTCTGGATTCATTTTTTATTTTATACTATTTTTTGTTAATAATAAAAACTGTGAGCAATGGATTGAATAATGTTTGATTTACAGATCGAGAAGTTCCATTGTTTGTCCTTGTTATTTATTTGGGTTTTTCAGAGACTCTAGTGGTTCTGCTTAACTAAAGGTTGTATTTAGCTTGAGGCAGATTTGCTTGATTTTCTGTTTTCCCTTTACCAATATAGTGACAAAGGAAAAAATTGAAAATTGTCTTAACTTGCTGTGTTCAGATTTGAGACGCCTTTCAGAAGTGGAAGGTAAGTATTCAGTTGTTTCTCCTCCTTTTTCTCAGTTTAGTGTTATTGGGACTGGTTCACTGAGCCTTGATTCTTAACCCTTTACACCCTAACATCATTCTGTATATATATATGTTATTTGCCGGCTGGGAGGTCCGTATGGTGAAAAACTTTGACCGAGGTCTTGAAAATACTGCCCGAGGCCGTAGGCCGAGGGCAGCATTTTCAAGACCGAGGTCACAGTTTTTCACCATACGGACCGACCCTTAGCCGGTAAATAACATATTTATTGTTTTTAAACTTGACGAAATTCTTTCCGAAAGAACCCGAATGGCTTATGGCCGTAAATACGGCAAGATCTTCCATAAACTGAACAATTTTTGAGTGAGTAAATGGTAGTTAAAATAGAGGTGATGCAAATTTAAGAGAGATGCCTCAGCGAAACATTTTCATTTCCGTAACGATAAAGGTGATTTAAAAGGCTTCCAAACAAACTTTGAAACATTATTTTTACAAGTATCTGTCACAATCTGACACCTGTCAATTAGAGAGCGTGCAAAAAAAAAATCGTAGGAACATTTGAAAACCAGCAGAACCAGTTTGGCAACGACTGTCACGACAATGTTTTCTTAAAAATCAGTTAATGATCTAACGGAAAGTATTATTTACTCTCATCGACCATTCATTCATGTACGAAGATTTACCTATGTTCATTAAGTAAACGGCGAGGAAAGTAATTGTGAGTAAATTCAATTTATTATTTTGAAGTTGTGGGAGTTTGCTCGTTTGTTTGCTGTAATGGCGTGTTTAACTCGGATCTTTCCTTCACAAAAACTAAATTCGAACGGCAGCCTCCAACGAGACACAAGGGAATTTAATGCAGCCTTTTCTCAATTCCTTCAATTTCTGTTGTGCAATTTAAGGTACAAATGCCCAAATTGAACGGAATTGGAAAGACTATCCAGGAGCGTATATTTGTTGTAGAACTTAAATTAAAACTTCGCTCGCTTTTTTTTTTTTTACTATGAACAAATTGCTCGAGAAAATTCAGATATTAAATGAATGAAAGTTCCATCGTTCAGTTTAACTGTAACCAAATACCTCACGTTTCAACTTTCTGGGTACTTCTTGTGAACGATTAAAATTAATTGCAGACGGTTTTTAGGCCGCTTGTCAACCAACGTAATGACACTATTGTTTATACAAATTCATTCTGAAACCAATATTTTTCTGTCAACCAAAGTGATTTGATAGAGAGAAAAGGGAGGATTCATAAGTTATTTATCGGCTTGAGGTAGTGACCGACGTGTTTGCTTAAAAATACTGCCCAGCCGGAAAACGAGGTATATTTATGAAAAATGACAACGAAAGTTGGGATGTACTCGGCGACTCACGAAAGCGTTACCGTGGCCCGTGGGCAGAGATACGAAAATACTGACCGGGTAAAGAACCAATCAGATTGCAAGATTAGTTACCGTTCCCTCTAAAAAAACAATAAATATAAATACTCCAAAGTGTTGTCTTTACATTTCCTAAGGTGCTGACAGGTGAATTTGTTTAACAACCTTGAGTTTCTTTACATAGTGATCATTTCCTTTATCCTTGTGATATTCTAAAGAGAAATTAGATGCTATTCACTCTTCAGGGCCGAAGGCATAAGCCAAAATGTAGATGAAGGAAACAATGTTTTGTATTTTGATTTTAGGGTGGAGGAAAACAGATGAGAACAAAGCTCATGAAAAAGAGTTGCTGGACTCATTGCTGCAATTCGCCAGCAAAGCCTTCATGCCTAAATAACGGTAAGAAACAGTAATCTTAACTAATTTGAAATGCAAGTTATTAATTGTGGCTCTAACACTTCATATTATTGCAGTCAATATTATATCTTAATTAGCTGAAATTCAAGGCTTATAGCTAATTTAATTTTCAGTGTTTTTGATTACTACAATCTAGCAATAAAACATACTGTCAATAATTCTGTCATATGAAGTGGTGCAGATGTTCTTATCTTGGTTTATTTTCTTTTTTGCATTTCAGAATGAATGAAAATCTGTCTACTATTTTTGAATATTGGTCATTTGTGTTTTAGATTCTTGTGAAAAAATTGCGGCAAGAATTGCCAATAGTAAGAACATGCTGCTGCTCTATTTTCAAACAAATTGTTCTTTAATAAGTTCATTTATAAAAGTATCTTAAGTATGATTTTTCTAAAAATTATATATAATATTGAGTGCTCTATATTCAGAAAGAAAAATTCTTTTGATGAAACATTTCCTCTCACCATTGTAAATAATCCTTTGTAAATAGGCCAAAATATGTTTTGTAAACAGGTCATGGTGCATTCTTGTTGCAATCTTTAACCGGATTTTAATTTTTAAGAATTAATTTCTTCCTGCAGTTTTTATGAAACCACTGTAAGTTGTAATAACAGCACATTCCAAATCCTTTTCCTTATTTTGAAATGATGTACTTTAAATAGTTTTGATAAAACAGATCTCCTGTCTTAATTGTAAACCATAACTTATGGTTTGTGAAGTGTATCATCTGTACAAAAACACTTTTTTCCTGCGATATTCATGAAGCCACTGTTAAAGTAACACATTCCAAATTATTTTTCTTATTTCCAAAAGATCAACTATTCCAATAGTAACTCACAGGTAAAAGACCTAATACTCTCTTGTCAATATAACTTGCCTAAAAATGAAGAAGATTTTTTGAGGTAAAGCAAAGCAAATGTCAACAGTCATGCTAAGTGATAACATGTGCACATGTGGCAGTTTGGTTTATAAGTGAATCAGTATCAGTGCTGATGTTGGGGGAACACATTGTAATGGAGACTGAGAGACAATCAGAGTGACTTCGATATATATTTAGAACTTAACCTCACAGAAATTAAATTACATAATCGATTCAACTTGACCTTTCAAATCTGTGACATGTCAGTCCTTCTCATTAATTTAAGCTTGAAACTCTTTCTTGGTGCAGTTGAAGTCTTTTTTGTCAACCACACATGAAGTTTTTTTCCTTGTTGCATAACATTTTATATGTAAGACTCTTGTACTGACATTGGTATTGAGGTCATTATGCAGTGGCTCTGAAATAAAAAAAACAGTTAAAAGTTTATGCTCATAACTTCCTGTTGTTATTGGATGGTTTCTTTTAATTTGTAGTACTTTTGTATGGACATTACAACTGAGATCATTTTGCAGCGGCTTCAAAGTATGAAAAAAATCTGTAATTATTTCCTGGCTACTTATCATATTGTTTTTCAATGTTCTTCTATGAATGTTGGTTTGGAGATAATTATGCAGTGGCTTCAAAGTATGAAAAGAAAAACCTGTGAGTTAAGTATTAATAAACTTTGTTGTTGTAAAGTATGTGATGATTATTATTGTGTTCATGAGGCCATTTCGATTGAGTGTCGAAATTAAAGTGATCCGTGATTACGACAGTTTTACCTCACCATCCTCAGTGATTGGGCCAGAAAACTCGCCCCAAATGTAGTACTACAACCTAATGAGAGAGATATGTGGGAACTATTAGATGAGCCGGGTTGATTATGTTTTACAAGATGACTATCGTCCCGTTTTAAAATTACCTTAGCCAGTTAAGATTGAAATGAAAGTGTTAAAGAAACAAACCAAAGAAATAATGGTTTTGACATCAAATATAACAATCAATTTTGATAACAAGTAATGTGATAATCAGGATATGTATGGTACCATACGATACACAGGCCACTATCCACTCAGAGCTTTCACCCCACTTCACAGGTTAGAACTGTTGTGCAAGATTTTAAAAGAAGGAAAGTCATAAACATAAACGGTAAAAAAAGTTGCGTAACTGTGTAATCATGGTATTAAAATCGCCTGGTTGTTAATTTGCCACCGTCACCGAAACGTGGAGGGGGACAGGGGGCAGGAGCCCAGGAGAACAGGAGGCGGGAGAGGGCGGGAAGCAGGAGCAGAGATAAAGGCGGCAATAGTTTGTTGGTTATTACTGGATATTATTCAATCAAAAAAACTTACCTAGCAAAGTTTTCAAATTTCCATTTAACAACACAGGTGCTTAAAAGAAAATTTTGGAAGCAAGAAAACGTAAATTTGTACTCGGGCTGGAAAAACAGCATTACTTCCGGTGAATTTGGAAATCTCTTCAATTCGATTACGAGATAGCATGACACATGACACATGTGCACGTCCAGTAAGTTTTAGCTGTCGAAAATCTCCAGCAAAGAAAGCGATTCAGGTTCATACAGGTCAAATGTCGTCAAAGACTACATTAATCGGCCTCATATTTTTCGGTGTGTCAACGAAAAAAATCCGTTCATGGAAGACCTTGGGAGCTCGCCCCGTACGAGTGCACATCCTAAATTACTGAAGATTTTGCCTTCAGGTGCAAACTTAAAACTTTCCGCAAAAGTTTAAATAAGATTTTAACCTATCAGGCAAATCTGATAATCAGCCGACTGCGAATGTTCAATCATGCTTCACTAGCACTTAAACTGAACACTCAAATGCAAACGGTTCAATAATCGATGTGCAGTGATTTAAATCATCCT